ACCTCGGCGTTGCAATGGACGGACCAGATTCCTTTCAACCACCACGACTTGAGATCCGGCAGCTCAACCCGTGAAACCATCGGATTTCCTCCCGTCTGTCTAGACTGGACCATGAATCAAGCCGGCTCCCTACTAGAACTAGCGATTACTCGATACGCCGGTTATTTTGGACCAAACGAACTTCAGGGACGATGAAGATGGTATAGAATTACCGTGTAGCTAACCATTACGCATGCTTTGACATATCGCTGAACGCCGAGGTGCCTTTGGTGTATCTGTTGTGTCTTAGTTGATGGGTGGTATAGGTCAGTCTGGTAGGACATCCGATACTATTTACTCGACTATCAAGAGTCTAAAAAATCCAGAGTGGCCCGAGTCCGTTCTCCTTCGATTTTTTTTCTTTTTCTTAATCTCTGGTGGATCCCTGTGACGAAAAAGTGCCTGCAATTAGTTACTCAGTAAAGAAAATGCAACAATTACTTTGCTATCCTGACCCTTTCTGCTAGTTAACCTCCGTGCCATTTGAATTCTATAGTCATCGTAATAGTAGTAGCAGTAAGAAGGCGACACGTTCTTCGAGCTCTGATGGGGTTGGTGCCCTGCCCAGAATTGGGTTACATGCAGAATCTGAAACGACGACAAGCAAGCCCTGGATGGAGTCGCATTTTCCTGCCTCCCGGCTCTTTTGTTTCCTCTTGTTTCCTGCGGGATTTCGCACATGGCCGGGGCTTCTTTCCAGTTTCGTTACTAAATGACTGACTAATGAGACCGATCCAACACCCCTTCCCATAGTCGTCCCAAAAGTCGAGCATTGACTTGAACAAATCACAATCGACTGGTAGACATATTGTGCCTGACTAGTAGTTCCATCATCCACGGTTACGGCGTCGGTGGGAAGAAAAATTCCCACTCCCATCATTACCCCTACGATTCCCCAACGCACTAAACCTATTATTATCAGGTCCTTCATGCAGGTTACGCCCCCCCCGACAGTGGGCACACAGTGGGTGAACACTGAAAAGGAACTCGAACTGCTTTGTCTCCGGTGGGGATTCCAGGAACAATTATCCATGAGCTGGCTCGTCACCACTAGTTTAAGCACAGAACCGCAAAAATAAAATAAAAAACTCAATCATATCATCGGATGTTCGATACCCCCTTAGTTCCCTATTCAGCCCTGGGCTGAAGTTTTCATCCCTCCCGAGGAACCAAAGAAAAGAAAAGAAAAAAATAGGGGTAGAATTGCCCCAACTAAGCTAGAAGAGAAATAGGCCAAATCGACTAAAATCAGCAAACAAACAAACAAAAGAGAACCTCCAATTCAAGAGGGAGAGAACCCTCATGTCAACATTGTGTTGGCGAGACTCATACCATTGCATTACGCTGCCAATGCAAGTCTAACCTAAATGCTCCTAATCTCCAATTCATTAGAGCAGTGTTGCTTGAACTATACTAAACTGCTAAACCACTAACAACTAACCCGCACTTGTTCTATTTTTACGTGTGATTAAGAAATGCAGGAATCAAATCAACGCGTGATCATGCTTCACTCAAGTGTTTGTAGATTAGCGCTGTGTGACTAGCTGGAGTCAACCACTGGGGATCGGCTTTCGCTATATCGCCATGCACGTTGAGAACTCCCAAACATGCTAAACAAAGCGATCTGTCTCAGGTTCGGGGGTCCCCCTTCTCAAACATTAGCTCGACTCGGAGAATTCGCCATATCTGGAAGACTCCCACGCTAAGGGTACGTGCTTCGCAGCCCCGGTCCCAGGGTGGGCAGAATAAGGTTTGTGTGATCAAGTTAGGAGTTCGATAGTAGACTCAACGTCGCAGACTGAACGTCCGCACCATCCAGGTGCATTCAATACGAGAGGAGTTGCGGTGAGGATTCTGTCATTCCTCCAACTTGGCGCGAGTCAGGAAAACTGGAAACATCCTATCACGCCTTCAATGGAGGCGTTCGTTCTCGCAAATAGGGGTCAAGGCGAGCTGGTGAAACAGATTCGCAGTTCGAGGCCACTCGCGTGGTCGAAAGCAACTAAAGCCCCTCCCTTCGCTGATGATCGAAACTGAGGCAAACATACAGTAGGCTCTGAGCCGGAGGCACTATGCACAGCGGTAGCGTGTTTTGGGTGCAAGAGATTCGAAAGGAGTTTGGACGCGATGCATGTCATGCGTAGTTGTCAGGTGTCATGAGCCAGAATCGACAACTAGCGACGTCCTCTGCCTCTGCCTCTGCCTCTGCCTCTGCCTCTGCCACCGCCCCTGCCTCTGCTGCTTGACCGGCCTGATGCTTGGATAGCGGCTACGTCATGTTTGCTCAGGTTCAGAGTTCCGCCTGCAAACTTTCCGACTGAGGGCCCTCCAACACCACGTTCTCGCCGTTTGGCGCTGCTGGTGTTCGACTTAGGTGCCGGTTTTTCGAGGATAATTCCATTTTCTTTGGCTTCCTTCCGACGCTTGTTTTCCTTCATCTCGGCCTTGGCTTTGATGCCTCTCCGGTGAGAAGAGGGCATCATTTGCTTGTACAAGGACTCTTTAGATCCTAGTTCCTGCATCCGCAAGTCAAGAGCCTTGATGCGATTCTTGCCAGTTGGAGCAAGATCGGACGCTGAGTCGAGAAGGTGGGATTCCTTTAGGAGACGTTGCAGTGCGAGATCGTTTTTCAGATGGTCCGCATCAATTTCGATGTCATTGTTGTCATCCTCGGTATCTTTCTTCGGCGTTTTGGCCGTGGTTCGCTCGGAGATTGAGGATGGCGGTTTGGCGGTCTGTACCAGCGTTAGGATACTCGATTTCAATGGGCCACCAAGTATATCCTACCATGAAGGCCTTGCGAGCTTTCTTGTCCATCAAGTCCTGGGACTTTACGTCCCAATGCTCAATTACTTCAACCTCCTCTGGTTCCTCTTCGTCTCCGCTCGTACCATCCCAATCCGACTCAGCATCGGAAGCCTCCAAGTCTTCCTCGTCGCTTTCGTCTTCTGAATCATCGCGGCGGGTAATCTGACCTCCAGGTACATCCAACGGTTGAAATTGAGCTTCGAAGAATTTGCGGAAAATGTCCTGGGAGGACTCGGTGGTTGTCTGCGGCGTGTCCTCGTCATCTGAAGTTGTAGCTCTCGACACAACGGCCGTGCCCCTCTTCCGTTTCCCAATCATCTTTATTAATCCTTGTATTAGTGAACGAGTGTGCGTTGGGAACCCAAAAACTAGAGTATAGAAAAGTCAAGAGAAAAAAAAGGCCCATGCGATTAAGACTAGCCGCAGAATGTGCTTATGTCAGCCGCTATCGCATTATGTCACGTGCGATAAGATAGGTCCGACCCCTCGTTGGATTTCACCGATTATGATCGAGTTCGTAGCGCGCCGTGACATTTCCAAGAAGGCATTGAACAAATTCTTGAACTCAAAATGACCAAATTTCGCCCTTGCATCGATCTCCACTCGGGGCAAGTCAAGCAGATCGTGGGCGGAACCCTAAGCAATGTTGCTGCCGATCTGAAGACGAATTATGTCTCCAAGCTCCCCGCCGGTCATTACGCCGAGTTATATGGGAAGCACGATTTGCGCGGCGGGCATGTCGTGATGCTGGGCCCAGGCAACGATGAGGCAGCGCATGAGGCACTTCGAGCCTGGCCTAACGGATTGCAAGTGGCTGGAGGGATCACCGATAAGAACGCTCAGTACTGGATTGACCAGGGTGCCGAGAAGGTGAGCCTCTATGCCTGCGCTTGCTGTCTCTCAGCGTAAATTCAGTCTGCAGCCCAGCTGCAGGTATCGCTTTCCTCATGGTACTCTGATCGGATCGATCTTACTCCATGTTTTTGCGTCTGGATCTCACTGTCTCTGGTACCAGCAACGTGCAGCCTTGCCATGACTGACCCGTTCTCGTAGGTGATCATTACATCATTCCTCTTTCCAGAGGGCAAATTTTCGAAGGCGCGGCTTGAATCCGTTCTTTCTGCCCTTGGAGGCGATCGATCAAAGCTGGTCTTGGATTTGAGTTGCCGTAGAAAGGACAACACTTGGTTTGTAGCCATGAACCGCTGGCAGACCATTACCGAGATGGAGATCAACCAAGGCAAGTTCCTGTCCATGAATTCCATTAGCTCTCTCGCCCATCCTTGCTCGTATCTCAAGAGGCAGCAGCGGACAGGTGTTTAATATGCCTGGCGATTGCAGTCCCTGGGCTACCGTTTTGCTTCTGTCTGAGCCAGCCTGTAAGACTAACTGAAGCAGAGTCAATCTCATTGCTGGAACCTTACTGCTCCGAGTTTCTCATCCATGCCGCTGATGTAGAGGGGCTGCAGCAGGGTGTTGATGAAGAGCTCATTGCCAAATTAGCCCAGTGGTGCACAATTCCCGTCACCTATGCCGGTGGCGCTCGCAGTTTGCAGGATTTGGAAATGGTTCATGCCAGCAGTCAGGGGAGAGTTGATTTGACCATTGGAAGTGCTTTGGACATCTTTGGTGGCTCTGGGGTAACGTTCGATGAGTGTATAGAATGGAACAAGTCGCATTGAGTGGGCATTGAGGGAAACACCTCCAGATCAAGGACAATCCATTCTGTCTGAGCATATGTACATACACACACTTTAGGTGGCTCGGCTGCAAAAATATATACTACCAAGCAACATTTCATTTTCTTATTAAAGGTTACTCCAAGCTGGAACATTCACAAGAATATTGTTATCTTCAACGGACCGTGGTAGTCTACCGATAACAGACATATATACAATACTATGTATATACCTTCGTCTACATCCCACTTCCCCGGTGGAATGACGCGGCCATCCGTCGCAGGTCGAGACAGCCGGAAAGACCATCAGTGCCGAAAGCGGCTTAGCGGTGACCGCACCAGCACCGCACCCGAGTTCCTAGTCGACATCACAGCTTCTCCAACTGAATCTCAGCCCTGGGTCAATTCAACTCACTCTCTTCATCTGTCTGCATCTTCCTTGTTTTAAAATTAGCTCCCACACAATACAAGAGTATATCTACCTTCAGCCTATTTCTATACAGCTTGACCGGCCCGCTCCACCCTCCCTTCCGCCTTCCGTATCGTCAGCTTTAAAACGCTATCGCCCCCCTCCTCAGCCAACAAAGATGAAGCCCGTCGTATCTTTGATGAACGCTTGGTCCTGGTAAATTCAAACCTCTCAAGCAACACCTCCAGTGTACCGTTCGAGATCACTGACTGAATTTCTCCAGCGTGGTCATATCTCTCTTCGCCATCGTCATTCTCTCAGTCCTCGGATCGCTATTCCAAGTATGGCACCTTCATCACACTTCCTCCCACGAGACTCCAGCCGCTTCACACCCCGGCTCAAACAAACCGCCATGACTAACCCCTGACACAAACAGAGAGAACATCACAGCTTCACCGGCGGTGAAGAAGAGCCCGAGAATGGCGCCGCAGTCGCTGCCTCCATCTACACCGCTGTCCTTGTATACGTCGTACGTTCCCACCCGCATCCATGATCCCACCCAGGCAACAGAGAATCCGTCATGACAGATGCTAACGTACGGTCCTTTCTCTCTTCCTCCAGGCATTCTTCGTATTCTGCGCCTTCCAGGCCTACCTGCACACGAGAAGCCGCAGGGGTGGCGCCATCTCTTTGAGCTAAATCCACTACACCCGGCCGGTGGTTCCGAGGAAAAAACCACCTGCTCTTATGTGTCTTCCGCAAACCTTATTCCCGCTCTATACTACCGTGTTTTTTTTATATCCCTATCTTGAAATGAACGTCGTTTACAACTGCGTGTAGGCTTGCTTTGTCGGGTTCGGATCCCCGGGGGGAGGATCATGGTTCTTTGTGATCTAGGCGCTGGCTGCTGCATCGTTCGACCCCCTTCCACAAAGAAGTTGCGTGGCTGTGTGGCATCTTCCTCTCGCGGGGAGGGAGGTAGAAGATTGAATCACGAACTGCCTTGCTTTACAGGCACAGTAAGCGATTTGATTTGCTTTGCTTCTTGTCCTCGGCGGCAGGAGAAGGGGCACTAGATCCGCCGCTATCCGCTTCTTCCCTGAGCGAAGTGCCCGATCCTCTTTTTACTCCATTCTCTGCTGATTTTGTTCGCTTGTTCATTCTTCATAGACCCATGAAGATGGTGTACGGTATGTCTGTATATAGTACGTACGTTTAGTCCTGTGAAAGAGCGCGCGTTGCTGCTTTCGTGTTGGTTACTTACTTCTGCCCCTGCTTATGTATCTCCCCAGCATCCTATCCAACCAGCGATTAGACAAGTCCTCTCTCAACCACCGCTTATGCATTATTGCTGTAGAAGTATAGATTCCATACCCGCCTCTTTCTTTTCTGATTGGATAATACGCATTCTATAAGTCATTGGCACCCCTGTAAGCAAGTAGGCCATTCACGTCGCTCTTGAAACCTAGCCAGAGATATGTAAGGTATATAAGGGAAAACAAAGAGAAATACACAGCCGCCGTAGATCGCTTTTCGTTTCGAACCACACTCCTTGAAACGCCCCGATGCGCGGACCAACCCATGGCCCAGATAAAACAAGCGTAGCACTTTTGAACAAATAATACAGACCTCAGGAATTCTCTTTGTTGAATAGAGGCATTATGGGATCATGAAAACATCAGCGATATCACTCGTGGAGACATCAGAAGAACTCCTCATCTTCAATGGGATCCAGCGTCTTGGACATGTACGGACCATCCAGGGAGTAACCCAGACGAGCGTAATAGCTGCGAACACCGACTCCGGAGATGACACTGATCTTTTGACTGCCATGCTCCTCACGGGCGATTCGCTCGGCCTCCTCCATGAGCAAGGTGCCGAATCCGCGGTGCTGAAACTTGCGGGGATCACGGCCGTGGAGGGGCACAGCCGAGCCGTAGACGTGCAGCTCCCGGACAATACTGGTCTGTTGGCCGGTGAATTCGGGGCGGAAGGTGTGCGTGGCGCTGCACTTGCGGAGGCGCAGAAGACCTATCAAGATGTCTTGCTTGGGGTCCTCGTAGGCCAGGAAGGTCTCCCAGCCCCCGTTGGCGTAGTAGTCCCGACGAACCAGCTCCACTTGCGAAGGTCGAATCTTGTTCTTGACCTCATTGATACCCACCTCTCGGGTCCGGACATCGCGACAGGTCGTTCCGAAATCCTTCATACGGGCCAAGGCGAGCTCACGCAGGTTGCCGTTCTCGACACCGGAAGTGACGAGCGGCATGGGGATGTCGCGCTGGACACGGTAGATACGAGTCCACGGGGGCACTAGAGCCAGAATCCGGGCAACGAGGTCGATCAGCGCGTTCGGGGTATAGTTCTTGTACCGACCAGTTCTCCATAGCTCGTAGAGACCGGTTCCACGAATGACGAGGGTGGGGTAGAGCTTCAGACCGTCGGTCCGGAAAGCTGGGTTTTCGAAGTATTCCTGGAACTGGAAGAGATCGCGCTCCATGCCCACATTGGGAAGATCGGGCATCATATGGCTGACCACCTTAAAACCGGCATCCTTTGCGAGCTTAAAGGTTTCCGCCACCGCAGCGACAGTATGGCCTCTGTTCGTGTCCCGGGCAACATCCTCGTACAAACTCTGGACTCCAATCTCCAGTCGCGTGCAGCCATAGCGCAGCATACTGCTCAGATGGGTGTCGAGACAGTAGTCCGGACGAGTCTCGATGGTGATACCGACGCACTTGATGTTACTCATCTCACCGGCCTGCACCGCTTCGTCGACGTTGTCTGTTTGATAGCCACTCAGGGCATTATGGAGCTGGGCCACAAAGGATTCTCTGTAGTCTTCCGGAAGAGACATGAACGTCCCACCCATAATGATATATTCCACCTTATCAACGCTGTGGCCGAGGGACTTGATCTGATCAACACGCCCTCTAGCCTGTTCGAAAGGATCATAGCGGGCACGGATGGCGCGCATCGAGGTGGGCTCGTAGCCAGTGTAAGACTGCGTGGAATATTCGAAATCGGAGTCGGGGCCACCGGGGCAATAGACACAGATGTTTCCAGTGTATGCGATATGGGGACAGCGGTGGGGTTTGCTCATGACGGCGACGACGGCAATACCGGAGGAAGTTCCTAGCGGCAACTGTTTAGTATATGCAGACGGCATACCTCACAAAGGCACGAGACGACATACTGATTGGTTTGGCAATCAATTTGGGGAGGATATATTTCTTATAATGCTCGGGAACTGCCGCGATGATGGCTGTCAACGGGGGTTGAGTGGACAAGGCATGCTTTTTGGCGATTTGACCCCGCAGCTTGTTGAGGTTGATATCTTTGCGGGGCTTCGTGGGATCCCTCTGTGATTCATGGTCCTGAATTAGGGCATTCGCAATATCAGAACAAGCTCGCATAAACCGTTCATTCTCCGAGGGAAGTTTGGCATTTTTCTTGGGCTTCGAAGATGGTGGCGGCATAGTCATAGTGACGGTCGCCATTGTGGGTTAGAGATGCGGGCGACGGTCGACGGTCGACGGTCGCCAAATGAGGTTGCGGAAGTTATTTTCGAATTATAGAGGCGACCAGAGAGGAGGATGCGCGGTAACACTTGCGCCCGTGATGGCCGCTCGCTCGGGTTCAAGAGTACAGTTTAATGAGTGAGCGATAATTATAATGATTGGAATAACAACTGGATAAGTGGTGACTTGGTGACTTGTGACCCGGGTATGGCACGCGGCAAGCGTGGAAGGGAAAGGGAAAAAAAAGCGGGAGGACCGAGGGTGCCACAGGTTGAGTAAGTAAAGTGAGTGAGGGAGAAAACCGACCGCCCGTGACAATTCGGATCCGCTTAAAGCTTTGTCCCGAAAGTTCCCAAATCGCGTTTCTGAACCGGCCTCTTCCCTCTGCTCTGTATACCCTCCTAATTCAACTCTCCCTCCCCCTCTCCTGAACGACTCAACCCTTTTCGAGTGCGTCTTTATCTCCGTTCCCTCTCCTCTCTTTTCTCCTTCCCCGGTTTCTTTTCCTCTCCTCCAGCCAATATGCAGGCCTTCCGCCGTAACACCGCTTCTGCTCTTCGCAATGCTGCTGCCACGCAGCGCCGGGGATACGCAGCTTCAGCTAGCTCCATCTACTCTGAGACCGTTAACAACCTTCGCATCAACTCGGAGACGAAGGTGATCTTCCAGGGTTTCACTGGAAAGCAGGGAACGTACGTATTTTGTTCCATTTTGGAAAGGTTGTCAAGGATATATCGCTGACGTTGCTTTTTTCCCGTCCGGGTGCAGTTTCCATGCCGAGCAAGCCATCGCCTACGGTATTAATCTTTCCAATCCCTCCCCCCATCTGCGCAGGCGCCAAGCGGAATAGAACCCTCTAAATGGTCACGTTACGCGAAACTCACAACTGCCAGGCACCAAGGTCGTTGGTGGAACCAACCCTAAGAAGGCCGGATCCCTGCACCTCGACAGACCCGTTTTCGCCAACGTGAGCGAGGCTGTGAAGGAGACTGGCGCCACTGCTACTGCGCTTTTCGTTCCGTAAGGACCCGATGTTGGTGGATTGAACATGCACATGCGAGGTGCTAACGATTGCAGTCCCCCATTGGCTGCCAAGGGTATCGAGGAGGCCATCGAGGCCGAAATCCCTCTGGCTGTCTGGTACGTACCTTGTCGAATTTTCGGAAAGTGGGCTGGCCGCTGATCTTGATATAGTATCACCGAGGGTATCCCTCAGCACGGTATGTTCTCTTAGATAAGCGAGCGCTTTAGATGCCTGTTCGGGTCGGAAGACTGATAAACGAGTGCTCAGACATGGTCCGTATCACGGACATCCTGAAGACGCAGAACAAGACCCGTCTTGTGGGTCCTAACTGCCCTGGTATCATTGCTCCCGTAAGTACCCAAGTCAAAGCCACTAGTGATCTCTGGTAATAACATCTGGTGTTGTTTGATGCGCTAGGGCCAATGCAAGATCGGTATCATGCCCGGATTCATCCACAAGCGTGGCCGTGTCGGTATCGTCTCTCGTTCCGGTACCCTGACCTACGAGGCCGTCAACCAGACCACCCAGGCCGGTCTGGGTCAGTCTCTGGTTGTCGGTATCGGTGGTGACCCCTTCTCCGGAACCAACTTCATCGACTGCTTGAAGATCTTCCTCGAGGACCCTGAGACCGATGGTATCATCATGATCGGTGAGATCGGTGGTAGCGCTGAGGAGGACGCCGCCGAGTTCCTCAAGGCCAACAACAAGTACAACAAGCCTGCTGTTGGTTTCATTGCTGGTATCAGTGCTCCCCCGGGCCGCCGTATGGGTCACGCCGGTGCCATCGTCAGCGGCGGCAAGGGTGGTGCCGATTCGAAGATCTCTGCTCTGGAGAAGGCTGGTGTCATCGTCGAGAGAAGCCCCGCTGCTCTTGGCAAGGCCCTGTTGGCCGAATTCGTCAAGAGGGACCTGGTCTAGATTAAGTGATCATCAATCACTTTGCACCCGGCGGAGATATGACATAATCCTGCAGCGTCTGTTTTTGGTTGGTATGAGCGATTTTTCTTCTTTATCAATCAGGCAGACATGTGAAGGATGTCGTGCTTCTGCTCATCCTTTCCATTCATCATTTAGACGACCTTTTCTCCTTATTTGCCCGAGCCATGGTGGCCGTTCTGTATTTTCTATCTGATCTCTTATCCCCCTCGTCGATATTTTTCCTTTGTTTAGAAGATGCAAGGCAGTAATTAGGTCTGGTATGTAAATTTGATTTATTATTCACAGGCCCACGTGCGGGAGAATTCTTGCAGGCACCACCCTTAAATGAGCATCGATGACCCGAGTTTCTGCCGCGGTACAGATCCTCCAATGTCCACAGACCCTCGTCTCTCTGGTGTAGATTAGCCTGGCCACACGCAAGATGACTATCCTCTTTGACTTTTCCTGGACAAGAGGAATGTCACTTTCCATCTCCATTACTAGGACTACAACAGCAGCGATCTCCACAAGGACCCGGAAGCCGTTTGGTCACGGTCGAGATGCTCGGAAGCTCGCTTCTCGGCTTCCCGAGCATGACGTCCGATGTCCAAACAACTCCGAGTAGATCCACCAAGTACTAATGCAGGAGCTATTCTCGTGGCTGAAAAAAAATCGTCTGCTGTAAAAAAAAAAAAAAAAAAAAGAAAAGAAAAGAAAAGAATATGCTGGCACGCAGCGGACGGGTTGATGTAATGTGGTGTGGAAGAAAAAGGGCCTCCTACCAAACAGAACACTTCCTGTACTGACTTCTTGCGAGGGTGTCGATCGTGACTCGGGCATTACTTGCTCTCTCATCACCTGTGCAATTATAGTGGCTTGAACTATCAGTTAGTTCCAGTTCCTGAGCACACAGGTAAAGTATGGACACTGTTTACCAGGGTCCTTATGATGACATTGTTCAAAACAAAAAGCACAGTCTGAACTTGGCAGCGGAGCCTTAGATCCCGGTCAGACCCTGTAGTGCCATAGATCAATAACCAATGACTATTCCGTATACGGCTTTGTTTCCACTTGCACTGTAGGCAACGGCAGACAGACAAGGAACGGAATGAGGGAGGGGGAGGGAGGCTTAGACTAGATTGATTGATTGAACTGGATTTGCCCCCTCTCTTCGACCGAATGCCCTGCAGCTGCAGCCAAGACCCGGCGTGGTAGGGGAAGAACCTTGGTAGGTAATTGGCCGGATGGGCGAGTTGGAGATAATGCACTGGCTTGGTACGGAGTATCAATCAATTACCGAGCCAGCAGGGATGTGACAGGGGCTCATGGGATGCAAAATGCACAATATATCAATTTGGTTTATCGGTATCTGTAGCCGCAGATAACGACATATACCTCCAGCGATGTCCATTGAGATGTCGGGTTCCACTTGAAGGGGACAAGAACGAATGATGACTTTTTCACATAGTGACAAATAGTGACCAGGGTCCTTTAAGAAAGCACCAGTGTCATGTGGGATCAGTCTTATAATAGAACATAATGAAAGTAAACTATGCTGTGGTGTTGACAAACGGGCCGACTAAGTTAAATGGGCCAGGATAGTAAGCTGGCCGAGGAGCCATTCACAGTAGGTTAACTAGCGGCACACCCCTTGAGTGTATGAGAGTTACTGTATGGCCTTCTATGACAAAATCAGTCGACAAGCCATGCAACATCTCTTTTTCAGCTTGATTGGGCTTCAATTGTTGTGATGAAGTGGGCCACAGTTCCAAGTCACTACCAATTCATGTGGCTTGCAGGTCTCAGGCTTGGGACTGAGACACTATTGTCTTGTCATAGATGTAGAGATAGAGGTCGTTTGTTGCCAAGGATTATTGTGATGTGGTTTGCGATAAGACCACTATCGCTGATTGCCATGCGATGTGGCCGTGTCAATGTGTAGCGTGACGGTGAGCAAGTGCTGCAGGTCCTCAGTGTATGTGGTATGCACTGTCAGATGAGTATTTATATCTACCTACCGACTGTAAATAGTATATGCTATAACAAAGGTGAAGTCGAGTCTTCTGCTAGTCCATCCGAGAATAGACATCTCTGTTGGGTACTTGTAGCTGTGCGATTCTTTTGTCAATCTCCAGGAAATACCGCGTGCAATATGTACTGTGCAATATGTACTGCATATAGTAGTGGACCGACTCGAAAGTCAGGCTCAATCGCGGCAAGCCAACCGGGGCTTGGCGCGGGCGGTGTCGATCTGCGCCACTGCGCCCATTGATCTATCCCTCCTAAGCTCCACTTCTCAAAGTTAACCTCGTTGATCTCTTGAACTAGTCATCTCAAAACCCAATTAGTCCCGAGGATCACACCGTCTATCAATCCTCCCCTTCCCTCAGTTTATCCCTGATTTCTTCTTTCTTTCTTCTCCTTCTTTTTCTCTTTTTCTGTTCTTCTCTCCCCCTAGGCCCCCTTGTTCTGGCCCCCGAGTCTTGTTCGCCAAGATTGACATGGCGGATGATAGGAGTTCGAGTACAGTAGTTCGGTTCTCCGACTTTCTACCGTCACTACAATCACATCCATCCATCCTCTCTTATCGCTTGGCCTTCGTTATTCTCTTCTGAAATTTAATTGATCTTGGACACATAGGTCACAGCTATCTTACTATAATTAGCTCAGGTCGTTTTACATCCCCCAATTTCTGAGCAATGTGATACCGATTCCAGGCCAACAGAAACATGCCAGTGCTTTTGAACCCTCGTCTAATGACGGCCGAGACGAACTTCCTCCTTGGGAAAAACCCAAGAGCATCAACATCATCATCGTGCTCCGCAATTGACCGAATCGAGCAATCTACTATTTGTGATCTGTCTCTACCCTGCTCTGCTGTCCGGTGCCCCTCCGCTCCCCCCAAAAAGATGATTGCGCACATTCAGTGATTTACCGATGCTCGAGAGTCCTCGTCATCACGGGCTATTATTGCATATGCTGCAGTTGGCCCTGCCCATCCGCACTATGCTGTAGATCTTTATCTTCAATATGGCCTCACTGTTGAAGACCAGAGAATTGCTTTAGTTATATTCTTGAAACCCCCCCCCCCTTTTGGGGTCACATAATTAAGCTTAAGGGAGAGCCTACGCATTAGGCTCCATCCAGGCCGTGATTGCCGCTGAAAATCCACAAAAGCAGAATTCCAAACTCCGCGGCGAGCGAAGCTGCATGGAACTCAGATCTTCTAGTCTAACACCTTAGCATGCGGGACCGGCCATCATGTCAAGGTTAAGGCAGCAACTCGGAGGCAGTGGGCACCGGTTCGGGTTGGCCGGACTCTAGCCCCCCCCGGTCCCCCATCCACCCTGAGTGCGAATGGTGCCGATGTAGATCCCCGAGATCCATGCAAATCCTAAGAATGAGGATCATGCCTATCAATGGCCATATCGGTCTCTCCTGTAAATTTTCGTCCATGCCCAATCCTTCCGGCACTGAATGGACAAGAATAACATACCGGAACACGTTTGACAATGATCAGATGTTTGTACCAACGAACTGCCAGTCGGAATATAGTATCGACAGGCAAAGCTGATGAGAAGCTCAAGGGTATCTCAGATGACAACCACGCCTCGAAGAAATTCCGGTCTTGAACACGCACGTGAAAGACTCCGGCTCCGTTGGTCAACAGTTTCGCCGGTTATGATCGTCCGTTGCCACAAGGACCCGCTGGCAGTGATGCCGCCGTCTCTCAATAGACCGTCCAGATTCCTGAACACTTGCTCCGCTCTTTCTAGATTCTGCGATACATGACAGATGCGCCGGGTCCCTGAAACACACCAATCCTATGTTGCAGGTGGATTGCATTCGTCAGCTCCCAGCTTCGAGCGCTAGTCGACGGCCTCGGCAGCCCTCAATGGCTTGCAGAGCTCATACTCCTGACCACTCGTCGTCACATCAGCCCCGTCTTGTCTCTTCCAGATCCTTGTTGTTCCCACTTCATATCTCCCGCTTTCAGCGGCTGCCCAATGGCTTGGATTTGCCCCAATGTGACCTAGCCTGCTGGGTGCCAAGTGAGACTGGTCGGAGACGAAGGTCCCTCCAACTCGGGCCCTCGTGCATGCGATAAGGGTTCTATGTGTTACCCATTTGACTCCCATCTAGGAAGGTCCTCGGATTGACCTCATCCATCAAACATGCTCCGCAGTGGAGATGCCTAGTCCTTTCTTTTGTCGGAGTCCGAGCGTGTCTTGTCCGTGGCATCAATGACATGGAAAACTCCGGGACATATAGTGCACTGGCCTCGCACATTGTCCCTCTGCAGAAACACTCTCCTTGTCCATTCTCTTTGAATTGAATACTATTGTTCAGCAAGTTGCTTCAGGGCTGGACCTGCAATCAAGCCATAAACATGTCCCTATCGAGAGAAGAGACCGCAAAGGTCCCAGAGCCACAACTTTCCTCGGTGGCTTCCTTCACGGATCAAGACTCGGAGAAGGGTTCGATCTCACGAGATCCATCCACATTCGAGGGTCAATCATCTGAGCCTCCACCACATCATATTTTCACTCGATCCCGCAAGTTGCAGATGGTATGCATCGTCTCGATGGCTGCCATCTTTTCACCGTTGTCCTCCAATATTTACTTCCCTGCTTTGGACGATGTATCGAAGGTGTGTATCCAAAGCATAAGCCATGCAGTGCTCGAACCTTTCAAAGATCCAGACACGTTTACTGAGCGTGGAACAGTCACTCAACGTCAGCATGACGCTGGCGACTCTCACTATCACAATATACATGATTGTCCAAGGCCTCGCGCCGACTTTTTGGGGATCTCTCTCAGATGCTTTAGGAAGACGCCCTGTGTTCATTGGCACCTTTGTTGTCTACTTAGTAGCAAATATCGCACTCGCCGAGTCCAAGAACTATGGCGAGCTCATGGCATTTCGCGCTCTGCAGGCTGCTGGTAGTGCGGCTACCATCTCGATCGGTAAGATTGTCATTGGAATTCACTGCTGCAGCACTCCTAACGCCTATGCAGGAGCTGGAGTTATTGGCGACATCACCACTTCCGCGGAAAGGGGTAGCTTGGTGGGCATCTTCGGCGGAGGTAAGTAAATTTTGGCTCTGCAGAACCAGAAGAATTCTGGTGGCATGGAAGGCTGACAAGAATGATAGTCCGCATGCTTGGACAGGGCATTGGCCCGGTCTTTGGTGGCCTGTTGACCCAGTACCTGGGGTATAGATCTATCTTCTGGTTCCTGACCATACTTGGAGGCGTGAGTCTGGTGTCAATCCTGGTTCTCCTCCCGGAAACGCTCCGCCCTATTGCTGGCAATGGTACTGTGAAGCTTGATGGCCTCCACAAGCCTTTTCTATACCACTTTACGAGCCAGCCCGGTGTTATCGACGGTGCAGAACCGGGGGTAAAAAAGGCGAAGGTGACTTGGCGGACCGTGTGTGCGCCACTGAAATTCCTGGCCGAAAAGGATGTTTTTATCACCCTATTCTTCGGAAGTATAGTGTATACTGTATGGAGCATGGTGACCTCGAGCACCACGGATCTCTTCAGCGAGGTCTATGGCCTGTCATCTCTTGAAGTAGGGTTGACATTTTTGGGCAACGGTACGTTGAGCTCTCAGCAGGCACTACCGGGGATTTCAAGTTGCTAATGTCGATAAAACAGGATTTGGATGTATGTCAGGTTCTTACCTGGTAGGGTATCTTATGGACTACAACCACCGCTTGACCGAGCGCGAATATTGCGAGAAGCATGGATATCCGGCGGGTACTCGAGTCAATCTCAAATCACACTCGGACTTTCCCATCGAGGTTGCTCGGATGCGAAACACTTGGTGGATCACTGGCATCTTCATCGTGACTACAGCGGTCTATGGGGTGTCTCTCCGCACCCATGTTGCTGTTCCCATTATCTTGCAATACTTCATCGCCTTCTGTGCGACGGGAATCTTCACTATCAACAGCGCGTTGGTCATCGATCTGTATCCCGGAGCAAGCGCCAGCGCAACGGCGGTGAACAACCTGATGCGATGTTTGATAGGAGCTGCAGGTGTGGCGGCTGTACAGCCCATTCTGGAAGCGCTGGGGGCAGACTATACATTTGTTTTGCTCGCGGGTATCACATTGGTGATGGTTCCATTATTATGGATTGAAGACCGCTGGGGCCCTGGCTGGCGCCACGCCCGAGAGCGGAGGCTAAAAGCACAAATGCCGTAGACTGTTTTGAGTCTACCGGGTTTGAATCTCAATGGACAAGGGTATTTGGCATTTCTGGGTAGTCAATGGAGTTTGGAGCTGCTTAAAGGATTGTTTTGTGTTGACTTTTATACCACACTGGGGCACATGATGATAGCTCCTGAGATGTTCTTGGGACGGCGTTGGTTATAAATGCTTAGAGTCGTGGGTGGGTTGTGAGGATATTCAGATTAACTATGAATTTCGATTCTTTTTATCCCACCTCGTAGATTGTCTTTTGGGGATGCAGGAATAATGCTGGATTGAAGGGCATGTAATTCATAGGTTTGATTGAGATTGAGTATTAACTATTGATGATTGAGATCCAAACATGGCATTGAATGCAATGAGGTCATAAGCTTCGGTGGTGGCAGATCAAGTTGAGCCGAGAACTAATGGGCTTAGTCAGTAGGACTGACGAACCATGGGTCGGCGGAAGAAGTTGCATCTTCTACAACAACAATACTATCTTCATGTATGTGCAACATGCATACTTAGTAGCGACTACTCTGTATACTGCAGAAGGAAAAGGACTGGTCAAATTACATACATGGTTAGTCCAGAGTGCTCGGAATAGCTCTTTTCATTACTAACGGATGCAAGGACTAGCGAAGGTTGATTGCATTCTGCAGGGATGTTTTTGTTTGGCCGCGAAGAATGCACCTTAGCTAAGCCGCATGGGAGCACGTGACGGGGACCCAAACAACCGCCGCCTCGTTGCTTGAGAGACGGATTTCTCTGTTTATTCCTCCTTCGACCTTCGCCCACTTCGACCCTGCAAACGCGGCCGCTATGAGCCTTCCATAGCCAGTCTGCTGCAGTTCAACGACAAACTTCTGAATGCCGTGACGACGACAAGATATACAACCCGCTGCCTCTTTCTTCTGGCGTTCGTGCCTGCTCTGCGTCTGCTGCGGTGGGGATTCGTGCGGTTCGAGGGTGGTTCCGTGAAGGATCAAAACAGACGCTATTGCCCGTGGTTACCACACCAAACCAAACTCGTCTCTCACCCAGCAACGAAACGTGTGCTGTGTGTAGCAGTGCCCGAAAATCTCTGCCTCCCAGTCAATAAAGAAGAATAAAGAAGGATATGTCTCCTGATATGGGTAAGAGATACTGCTTTTTTTCCTGCATGCGACCTGTCTCGGTGGTTCATCGGGCTTTGACCGTTGCGTACCGTCTGTCCCTTCGGGTTTTGGGTTGCGTCCTGCCCTGCTGCTGCTGCTGCTGCTTCATAAGTTTATAAGTTTGGCCGGCTAATCGTGCAGGCACAGTGGGCCGAGCGGCCTCGCAGGCGTCGAGTGTTGCTTCTCAAACAACCCAATTAGTAGCACCACTCAGCCGCCCCGGTACCGCTGATCTCATGCGATCACGATCGGAAACTGTAGTATCAAGGAACAGCCGTCGCCCACGGTCGCGAGGCTCAACGGCTAGCATTCATTCTACCACGACTCAACAGACGCAGGATCAACAGATCACCGACGGGTTCCCCCAGTTCTTGCCCCCGCAGCCCACAGGTCATAGTGTCTTTGCCAGTAATCCGGAGGAAATCATCATGCGATTCGGACAGCAGCTGTCGCACCAGGTAAACGGCGCATCTCTCGACCCGACGCTGCAAGAGGCCCATCATCCTGTTATGCCGCGGGCTGAGGAGTTCCCGGGCCATGCAATGCACGGTCACCATCTATCCCATCACACACTGTCGGCCGGCATACCGAGTCACGGCCTCCCGGGCATGCCGATGCCACAGTTTGCGGCTATGTATGATAGTGGAATTGAAAACCATGTGCCGGAGCACGTTCTGGAGGACAACGAGAATTCTGAGGCAGGCGCAAAGAAGAAGAAAGGGTCCAGCTCATCTCTCGCCAACGATAACGAGCTCCGGAAACTATTACGTCAATATGAAGGGTTCACTCTGAAGCAGATGGCAGCTGAGGTCTTGAAGCATGAAGGTGCTGGCGGCAAGGCTGAAAAGGTGAAGCAGGTCTTTGCTATGATCTGGTAAGCAGCGGTTTGAATTTGGGCTCTGTCAGCCATGCTCACCTGGCTCTAGGTTGAAGGAGAACTGCAGGAAAAGTAGCGGCTCGGTCAGACGTGATCGCGTCTATTGCTGTTACGCCGAGAAATGTGGCACAGAACGTGTCTCGGTGTTGAACCCCGCGTCATTCGGGAAATTGGTTCGAATCATCTTTCCCAACGTCCAGACGAGACGGTTGGGCGTTCGTGGCGAATCAAAGTACCACTACGTGGATTTGACCGTGATTGAGGAGAAACAGCAGAAGCCGCCACCACTAAACCCTCAGTTACCGATGAATGGAAATGGTTCCACTGGTGTTACAGATAGCAAGGTTGAAGATATTATGCAGAAAAGGTATGGTGAATGTTCCTTGCCATTTGACTGACGCAAAGTATTGATGAAGCCCTGTAGCATCAGCGTCGCACCCCAACCACCTGCCGATACCGCCGAATTCCCTTCTCCCACAACATCATTTACCCCCAGATTCGCGACCAATACCTCGAATTCAGGTTGTGGTTGCCCAGTCCCATCTTACTCTTATGGTGATTCCTCCACCACCCTTGATAATATGGCAAGCCAAGCCGGCAAAATCATTCATCAGATGCTCGATCTACCTTCATGCGACACGCCTTCCATCGATAATGAAGACCTTCATCTTCCTGATATACAGCAGTACCTCCCAGCAAACACGGACCCCAAAATCGCTGCTGCGCTTGCAGCTCTTTATCGCTCACATTGTATTTCTGTCATTGACAGTTTCCGGTACTGCAAGGAAAAGAACATGTTGCGATATTTCTCGGCCTTCCATGGCACTCTGACAGTTCCTGTGCAAAAGCTCTTAACGCATCCTAACCTTGCACCATGGATCAAAGAATGCGATTGGATCATGTATCAGAAGATGATTGCATTCGTCGCACCACTTACCACTCAGGTGGTGCCGAAATTGGTTTTGGATGCTTTCTGCTCCATCTCGCAACGACTGACAGCCCACATTGCGGACACGTTCAAGACTCAGCCTACACATGTTTCTCTAGCCAGACTACTCCCAGCGCATATCTTTTGTAATCTACTGAAGCATATGCTTGATGTCAACCAATCTGCCAACGCGGCCGCCGCATGGTTGTGCCATCCCGATAACCGAAATCAGATGTGGTTCGATTTCAAGACCTTGGTTGACCCCAAAGAGATGATCATGAAAGCCAATATTCCCAGCTGCGCGGAGCGTGCAACTGAACAGATATTGAAGCATGACATTCGATCTCTTCTCACTCCAGTTACAGACATCAACCCTTCTACCACTCTTCCCTTCTTTGCCAAGCCCGATACCGAAGAAGACACCAAAGTACACAAATTCCCCGTCGAAGAGGCGGCCGGCGATGACTATAACTTCCCGGACAAGTGGATCTCTTTCATTCTAAACCTTCCGGGAGCCTTTCCGCATCACCGCACTCAGTGCATAATTGAGAAAGTCGATGCTTTATGGGATTGCATCCTGCGGCGACTTACGCTGGGAGGCGCTCAAAGTTTCAGCGCTTGGTGGATGACCAAGGTCTTCTTTCATGAAATGATGTTGTGGCAAGCTGAAAAGGGAGGGTTTATGCGTTACAAGCCAAGTACTCTGCAACACGCTGGTATGGCTGCGAACCAGCAAGGGCAGGGTGGATATCTCATGAAGCCCTCAAACTTACCGGGTCACGAGAGAAGTGACTCAATGATGACAACTGATTCGCAGCTCAGAAGCGAGGCAAGAGTACGACCGACTCCTAGCTCCACGTCAGCAGAGAGCATGAGTCAAACTCAGGATTCCTTGCGGCCCCAAGTGGATGCCGAGTCAAGCACTAATGATACCGAAAACGAGAAGCCTACCAATATTCCCGAGAGCATTGCTGGCTTCCATGCTCCGAATAATGACGATAGCGCCATTGATCTTGACGACGACTCGATGTTGATGACCGTGGGTAAATATGGTGATATGATGGCTTCCGACCCAGCGGATGCTGAGGGAGACGTCGTCGTCATATGATTTACCTATACATATTCCTTCGAATTTTCGTTCTTGGATCCAAAATACGAGTTTTCTTTGTTTTAAGGGTGGAGTTGGATTCTCTTTTATTTCAGGAGTACCATTTTGGTTTGATTATCTGTTTGATGTCTCTCGCCTGAAGAGATTTCACCTTCGGCGTTCGACGATCTTTTGCATGAGAGACGAGAAACGAGAGAATCGATTCGAGATAACGTCGGCCTCAATACGTCGTTCTAACACCAATCATACTGTTGCCCATGGTATCAGGTTGATTTTACCTCTCTCTACACATACTTCTGCCTCAAAGCGTGGTTGATCCCGCTTGGCTCCCTCTTCTGACTATCCTCTTTTCATCCCTGACTTTTCTCTCCCAATCTCGATAACGCGGACGACCGAGCTACGACTCACCCATCTCTTTCTGTACATACATACGCACACTACTTTCAGGTTTGCTGACGAGAGATAATGTGATCTCTCACAGAACTCGTCGTTGGCTTTGTTTCATGTTGAGGTTGTTGAAAGGGCCGATGTGTTGCTTCACTGGCGCTAGATGGCTCATTTGCTCATTTTTGTCCGAGTTTTACGCATGGGGGACTACCAATCTATCTGTTTGTGTACGCTTGATGTTTAGCACGTGGGCGGAGGGGTGACTTGTGTGTTCACTGGACCATCTGCAGTCGTTGCCTTAATACACATACCATACTTTAATACTTACGAACTTTTTCAAAAAGAAACAGTCTGCATTGCTCTCTCGATCGCGCTCCTGTAATCGACACTTCTTTATACCTTACGAGTGGCGGCTCCATCCAGGCATTCCCATCCTGCTTTGCTTATTTGAATCTAATAGTCACTGTGCACATGAGGAGGTGAGTTACTAGGTAATCTTCACCCAGGCCCTTCTCGATAATCCTCGGCTTCGTAACTATACTGGAGCCGGAGCCCGATGGTGGAGAACACATATTGATAGCAAGGCTACGTCACGGAGCAGACTTTTTCCCCCTTGAAGTAAAAAGGAAGACCATTCTGTTCCGTTTGTTATCCCACATTAATACAACACTGATTTCAGGCACGGACGGGTAATCAGAATACTCTGAACATCGTGACTCTGGACATTGTCTCACCAACTCAGAGGCGTGAAACATACGAGTGCATGAGAAACATTTCTATCTAAATTGGGTATTGGTTTACGATCAGGAGGGATGGGTATGGGTATGGGTATGAAGGAAGTCAGGGACCAACCAGTCCTGGCTGTGTATGATGAGATGAAAGACCGGTCCCTGAAAAGGCTCGAAGGTGGCTTGCATTGCACATTCACACAACCAGCAAGCATGAAGCGAACACATAGATCCGTGTGGTGGTGGGAGTTGCACGCAAGAGGTATTATGGGTTTATCTGAAACCTGAAGCTGGAAAGAACCTCGGGCCACCATAGCCGTAAGCAACGATGCTTTGAATGTCTATGTTCTTTCCGCTATGGGGATTCCACAGCTTGACAAGGATGTATCTTCCTGAGCTGTATGGTGGCAATAAGTTAGACACGTAGGATCCTCTCGAGCGGCAAGGCATAGAACTTACGGTGGGGGATCAAACTTAATGCTGACCATGCTCTTGTGCCTGGCAATGTGAAACCGTGCATGAGGTTTCATAAGCGAAGAATCCAGGGGCTGCGAGTCTTCGTGGCGTGGGAGGGGAGGTGTATCGGGCGAACGTGGACGGTGCCTTGGGTGTGCTGCTTCGTAACGACGCCGCATGGCTCGGATCTGCCTTGATAAGGCCCGGCGGCGCCGAGGAAATGTACCCATTTCAGCGAGTTCAGCTTCGCTCAGACTTTCACTAGTGTCCGAACAGATGGCGGCGTCGTCGAACCGATCAGCCTCCAGACGCTCTATCTCAGTGAGGTATGGCGTCTCGTCATCATCGTCGTTCCGTCCGTGGGCATCCGAACGTGCATCCGATTGTTCATCGTAATTGGTTATGGTGCGAAACTCTGGTATGGGATCAGGTTCACCTCCCTCGACGGGCCTCGAAGGGTTATTGTTGTCAGTGTCGGAAACTTCGGTGTTGAGATTGGGCTCGACCATGTTCCCTTGAATATTCGGCAGGCGAGGCCGGTGCGCATTCAGGTATTCCTGAGATGGCTGCATTCCATTGTGCCAATTTCGCCCAGCGCGTCTGGTCGCCTCACGTTGAACATGAGATGCGGCTGTACGAGCTAAAAGGTCGTCAGATGTCATTGAGACAAAAACCATGCCTTCTTGAATCCTATGAATAGAGTCAGCAGCGAGCTTGATATTGTGAGGCCGCTATCACTTACGGAGCATCATAACCGATTCTCGGCGCCTTGATGACGATCTTCTGCAAAGAAAAAGGGATTCCAGCTTGGTGTTTCAGAACCAAGTTGCATCGGTCTGATTTTGTGCAGTACACAGTGGAGTCATTGCGAAGGATGTTCTCGGGCCAGGAACTTTCTCCGTCCGGTTCATATGTGCCTCCGTCACAGCTGGCTAACTCCATTCTGAGTGCCCCCGGAACCACCTGACCATATTGACCGTAACGAAAGTTCTGCAAACCTTCTCGATGATCATCCGCCTCCAACTTGCGACGCTTTGTCCTCCAGTGATCCATTGGGGAGTCACTCTCCAATTGCTGAGGCATGACTGTTGGTGACTCGAGACGGGGTACAGGCTCATCCAGAAGAGACGTTTGATTTGCGCCTCTGCTTCTTCTCACGCGGCCGATCCGATCCTCGGCTCTGAGAGGACGGAACCTCGGAGTCCTATTGCCAGATCGGGCCGGGTCAGAAGCACTTGCTTCCGAATTCACAACTGTCACATTCAACGCGTGCGGTCTCTGACCACCAGGACGCACAGGACCTGCCGTGCTGCCGTTGCCCGTGGCTTGTTGTTGGTTCCAGATCTGGCGTTCGGCTCGGACTTGTTGAAACTGCCGGTCCAAAGCTGCCCTGGCCTCTTCGGCGATAAATGAGGACCTGCCCCGGTACTCCTCCAACTCCTGGTTCAGAGTTTCAAGCGCACGAGCTGAGTTGTTACGGTTACGCTCGGAATTGAGCAGTTCCTGTAGATGTTGCAGACGATTCAGAACAGGGCGTTGTTGTCGGTCGTTGTTGGTACGAGACCCTCGAGAAGGACGGCGAGAGGCGGGAGGATAATCGTAGTTCCCGGACTTGATTTGCAGTGCGTCAGAAAGTCAGTATTGCAGATGATACGCGGTACAATGCATTCTCCGCAAATGACTGTTAGCTACGTACCATAATTTGATTTAAAGAATTAAACCATCCACTGTGGTGATGGGGCGAGGGCGTACAGCGGGCAACTATACGGAACCCGATAACCACACAAAGGATAAGGGTGCCACACAAGGACAATGCAGAGATAAACCGGGAAGATGGATCAATGAAGGGGAGATGGGGGGAAATGGGGGGAGATGGGATGAAAAAGAGAGAGAGAGAATGTGTGTGTGAGTAGGAAGAATAAAACCGAGAGGGTATGTGAGCGAGGAAGAATGAAAAGATGACGGATATTGCGGCGGCGAGTGGAGAGAGAGTAGAGAGAGAGGGAGAGGGAGGAGTGGAGGTGGAGGTGGAGAAAGAGGATGGAGTGGTGGATGGAATGACGCCCGCCCGCGGCATTCCTCTTCCCTTCCTTTACTTCAAGCGATAAGCGACTAACTTATCGATGGAACTATCGGGTAGACTCGCACGTGATGACGATAGATAGGAAGAAAGAAAGAAAGAAAGAAGATTAGATAGTTACAAGTTACACCTTCACTTTCACTTGTTTGCATTCACTTCTTCTTTCTTCCAACTCTACTTTGTTTTCCTTCTCCTCTCACGCTCGTATATTCCTCTACCTTCTTCCCTCTTCTCCATCTCTCCTTTCGAACTACTGGGCCATACAGTTCTTGTATCAGTAGAACAGTCAGACTGTCCAAACCTTGCTTCCAATACTTGCCTTCACCCCACCTTTTCCCCCGACCTGCGCGCATACCTTCGCCCGCCTACCATCAAAAAGTCAGCCACCATCCCTTGATTGCTGCGGAATAATAATCCATCGTTTAAAGGCGCGTCACTCAACCCAGGTTCATTCACCGCGCAGGACGGGCTCTCTGTCGCGTGAGCTGGAGATTGCCTCTTTTCTCGCATTATACGTCATTCAACCATGGAGTCGCAGCCAGCCCAGGCGCCAGCCCAGGCGATGAGCGCAGGTATGCTAAGTTCATTACTCCCAAACATCGATGAAAAGCTCTTTCATAGTAATCGTGGTATGAAAAAGATGAAATCGCGCTATATGACCGCCAAATTCGCCTCTGGGGAGTGAAAGCTCAAGAAAAGTGAGCTCCCTCGATAGTACCCTCCGTGGCTTGCTCAGCGTCTCCTGACCCTCGGTCTTCTCATAGGCTGCGATCCGCGAATATCCTACTTATCACTTTCAAAGCTCTGGCGAACGAGGTCGCCAAAAACCTGGTGCTTGCGGGGATTGGTTCTCTTACCATCATCGACCATGAGAGTGTGACGGAGGAGGATCTCGGCGCGCAATTCTTCGTGAACGAGGATTGCAGAGGCCAGAATGTAAGCGGCGAAACCCTTTCCTCCCTCAAACTTCATTTAAAAAATGCTGAAGCGAAGTCCTATAGCGAGCACAAGCTGCAGCGCCGGCCATTCGTGCTATGAACCCTCGGGTTCAGCTCCACATCGACACGGAAGATGTTCGCCTCAAACAACCGGAGTACTTTGCACAGTTCGACATCACGATCGCCACAGAACTTGACTTCCACACGTACACGACCATCAATGCCGCGTGTCGGATAGCCAACCGGCCCTTCTACGCCGCCGGGCTGCACGGTTTCTACGGCTTCGTCTTCGCCGATCTGATTTCCCACGACTTTGTGATCGAGAGGTCCAAATCCAACGTGGCCTCGGTCACCCAGGAGACCCCGACGCGGAGTATCCTCAACATCACCACCAAGAAGGAGAACGAGAAGGTCATTGAGATGGTGACCAAGCGCGAGGTGTACTCGCCTCTGATCTTGGCCAACACCTCCCCGCTTCCCGAGGAATTCACGCGTCTGCCCCGCAAACGCAAGCAAGTCACCCCGCTCCTCACCTGTCTCCGCGCGCTGTGGGAGTACCAGAAACTCTCCGCCGGCGCGCTGCCGACATTCTCCCACCAGGACCTCGAGGTCTTCACCAAGCTCGCGCGAGACGGCCACCAGGAACTGAAACTGGACATCGCAACCCTCGACGCGGAGTTCCTGCGCACCTTTTTGCAGAACCTGAACAGCGAGTTGAGTCCCGTGGCGGCCTTCGTCGGGGGCAGTCTGGCACAGGATGTGATCAATGTGCTCAGTGCACGCGAGCAACCCCTCCAAAACATGCTGCTGTTCGACGGTGAACGTTTGACCGCTCCCATCTACCCCCTGCACCCTATCTTCCCGCCTGAGGTCGACAATATGCTCCCCGCTGTGATTCCAGTCCCGAACCCAATCCCCTTGGACGGGGCACCCGCCCTGGCACCTTGATGAGCCCCACAAGCATCCTGCAGAGGAGAACAAAAGAAATGAAGAGGCGCAGAGATAGGGGAAAGCAATCAACTCTTCTAGAGTTTTGGTTCCGAATATCAAAAGGGTTCAATTGGGGTTGTTGGTCCCTGCTATGGGGCAGTACGGATCTTTGCCATATCTACGCCTGCGCTGTAATGTTCCACACCTAGCGATTTACCACCAGAGGTAACGACGTGTATGATAGATTTGACAATACTACAATCGACCCACTCTTAAAGCACTACTATGGCCGTCGACTGTGTGGCCGTTCAAGGTGGCTTGCGTCTTTCTTAATGTCTTGCGCGCCTGATTACTCCAGACTTGGGCAGAATCGCAAAGCTCATATGCTATACCCCTAGCCAATCATCTACGCCTGTTGGTTGCGCTGCAATGCACCCTCGGGTCCAACCCTCAAAAGACCGGGCGGGCCAAGTCATCTGAGACCGGTAATTCAAGGAATCAATGGTATTCCAAGTAGAGCCAAATGCGTTTTGATAGAGTCGGAAAAGAAATATGAACAGTTCAGGCTTGCTGGATAAAAAGACACCCGAAAGAATGTTATATAGATTGAAACTCCTTCAAATCAACGCGTTGACGTCTCCTTACCAACGAGAGCAGAGCTTTCCTCATCGTCCACTTTCCGAGGTCCCATTGTGTTTCTACTGTGCTCCCCGTTGTCTTCCTCATCTGAAATGAGCCCCTGCAGCTCGAACTCCTCGGCGTCATGGACGTGCTGGTTCTCGGATGCGGAGCGAGCGTGGCCGTTCAGAAAGCGGCCGTTGGGCTGGTTAGGCTTGTAGCCGGGAGAACCTTCGCCGGCGTCATCTGCAAAGCTGGAGGAGCGGGAGCGGGACGGTGGCTTGGTGGATTCAGGCCATGCGTGAACAGCATAGATGTGTAAGAGGACGTTAACGACTGAGAGGAAGGATGTTAGAGCAAGGTCTCTGGGCAGATCAGTGTGACATTGAGGTACAACGTACAAAGGAAGAGGATGAAAGCAATGCTGTACAGAATCAAGACGTATGAAACATGTGTGATTCCAGCGTCACTGAGCAGTTGCATTTGTTCTTCGGTGGCGCCCATGAAGAGGAACCCAGAAGCGTACAACAACTAGAATCGAGTCAGTACAGTAGCTCAGAGACCGAGAGTGACCAGGCCCTTCAACATCCAGCCCCGGTGTCCTGGCGACTTACGAAAGGCGTGAGATACTGAAAGCTATTCGGGTCGGAACCGTCCGGGCTGACGGTGCCCTTGTCTCTGAGCACAAAGGAGATCTCAATGATCCTGGTAAAGCCGGCAGCCATCAAGGTGTAACCGAAGATGGAGTGGATCATAGTACTGATCATCAGATGCTGGGGGTGAGCGGACATGGCATAACCGGTGAGCAGAATAACCAGGGCTGGAATGAGATTGCGCTTGGGGCGGCCATTGCGTTTCCGGCTCAGCCAGATTCCCAGCAGCCCGGCACACCACCAAACAATTCCCATCGTGGTATGTTGTAGATCGTTGTGAACCCAGGGACCTCCCCACCGGTGCTCAGTGAAGGTGTTGACGCATCCCCAGGCGGCGATGATCAGCGAATCGAAGAACTCCTGGCTGCGACCCGTGCGGCGAAGCCAGTACTGACCAACGAGGAGCAGGATGGTAAGCAGAATTCCATAGGCGATGAAAGCGCTGCCCATGATGAAGTGAGCCAGACACTGTCCCAAGTGGTCATCCCGGCAGAAGCCCATGGCTGTGATTCCTCCAAACAGCATCTGAACCCAGCTTGCGACCGGCATGGCCTTGCCGACAACTCCGTGCGCAACCACCATAACCCGACGAATCCGCCCGTGAATACCCTTGGTGAGATGAAGTTTGAGATAGACGCCCAGTACAATCTGAACCACCATCATCAACATCAATGTATTTGCGAAAGACGCATGGACGTTTTTGGCGAATTGGCGACCCTTGTGAGCATGGCCCAGGAAGTATGCGACTACTGCGACAATTGTGCCGACAATCTGGAGAGGGACATGCCAGCGCGACCGTACAATCTAGTTGTCAAGCAGGAAACGTTAAAACCCAAGGTCCATACACTCGAGTATGACTCCACAGCCATCCAAATGAGGCTGTCGGAGATAAGTACGGAGAGACTTGAACTTACCCCGAGAACCATACCCAAGGGGAAAATGATGCCAAAGGCAAATCCCATGAGGATCATATGCAGCCATAGCGTCGAATCCTGAGGGACAATTTATCAGTTGGAGACAGAAAGAAAAGAAAAGAGGGAGGGGGGGGGGGGGTCGGTAGCTCGAAGGCAAGATGAAACCTACAATCGGATCTTCGGAGATGGCGGCACCGTCAGGAACATTTTCATGGCCTTCGTGAGCGCACGCTGGCATGGCCAGCAGCAAGGTTACCAGCAACCCGGACAGGTGAGATCGACTCGTTATTGCCATGACTACCACTTTACTTCCTCTTCAAAAAGAAAAAAAAAGATGTGTAGTGAGAGGACGATAAGGAGAGAAGAGAGAAGGGGATGTGCAGAGAGGGAGGAAAGAGAGAGAGGGGACAAAGAGTGGGTGAGTCCTGGCCGATCGGATGGTGCTGGTGGAGGCCCTGGGACGGAGGACGTAAGCATCCACAGGCGGCATCTAAAGCGCATTCGGGCAAAGCAGATTGGACGAAGGGCTCCGCACTTCTATACTTATACAGGTGAGTTGTTGCTACTACGTAGACTACCTAACTTGTTAATACTCATATGTTATTACTTCCATCATAATTCCAGAAATCCATGATAGATACCTATCCGTTACTACTTGGTAAAATAACCAACGACTTACTCATACTACACACTACACATTACCTTGCTTCTGTACAGTACTTTGTACAGTACATTACATTACAGTACCTGGTCAAGTGGTATGTCGTCCACCTCTCCCTTCTCTTTCACTTGGTTATTCACTACCACTGATACAAACCCCAGGAGATTCCTGAAACTCGTTTGGCAATCGATCTGCTGGATCATTATCATCATGCCATCTCCGCGAGGCTCCAGCGCCGAATTCGGCAACAGGCCTGCATCTCCAGCCGAGCAACAAGCGTCAAAGGAAAAGAAGCTGGTACGTTTTCTTCCGACAAGACAAAAACAAAGAAGAAAAGAACCATTTCTACCCTGTTTCATTTCGCTTCAGGTTATACTACGCCAGTCGGTTGCAGATATACAAACCCAGATCGCCGACTTGGAGGCTCAGATCGCCGAAGACAAGGCCCACTTGAAGTATGACAATCCCCCGTGTCCGCTCAAAAAAGGAAGGATAGTATGGATACTTACCGATCGACTTCCACGTGATGGCCAGGAACGACCCTAAAGCCACGGTGCAACAACATATCCGTCTGTTGCACGAATACAACGAAATCAAGGACGCTGGGCAGGGGCTACTGGGCCTGATCGCAGATGCGCGGGGAGTGCGACATATTGACGTGCAAAGAGAGTATGGAGTGGATGATCGCGATTGAGAATCACCCTTGTCGTGGTATTATAACAACTATTGAGGACTTACGGAACAGGAGCTTGAGTGACGTTCTTTTACTCCATCTCAATTTCTGTTTCTATATGAGGAGATATTCTTCACTAAGAGATACAGAGGTACAATACAGGTCATCGACCTGTGCGCACGGCAAGGAGGGGAGGCTGTATTCTAATTCACCTCCAAGAAAACAAGGTCTCATGTTCTCCATCGAAACCCCGAGAGACCAGTCAACTCCGCAACATGGTAAATGCGAGTCACATTATCCGTGGGGGACACAGTATCATGCATGTGCCTCCAAATTCATGTCACATGAGAAACAACAGCGTAAAAAGAAAAAAAAAAAAAAAAAAAAGAAGTGGTGAAGATCTTAAAACAAGTGGTGAAAATAGACAGGATATTAAACCAGCTGTACAGGATATATAGCGCAATTGAATTAGTGGCCCTTGTCGAGGCTCTGCAAGTTGACCAGCTCGAAGTAGCGACCTTTGGCACGGATCAGCTCCTGGTGTGTACCGCTCTCCACGATCTTGCCTTGGTCAAATACGTAAATAATGTCGGCTTTCTGGATGGTACTGAGACGGTGTGCAACTGCGATGGTGGTTCGGCCCCGAGCAGCAGCATCGAGTGCTGCTTGAACAACTTTCTCGGATTCCGAGTCAAGGGCAGAGGTGGCTTCGTCAAGAAGCAGAACTCGGGGATCCCGGATCAGGGCCCGTGCGATAGCCACACGTTGCTTTTGACCTCCAGACAACATGCCTCCTTTGCTGCCGACTACCGTATTGAATCCATCTCTGTGAGACGCAGCGTTAGTTAAAGAACTTTGAGAATGGTTTTCAGGACAACAACTTACGGGAGAGACATGATGAAATCGTAAATATTGGCTTCCTTGCAAGCCTTGATCAGCGCCTCCTCGGGTACCTCCTCACCAGTGACGCCCAGGAGAATATTCTCCCTAATGGTGCCTTGATACAAGGTGGGTTCCTGGCTAACAAGCGACAGGAAACTGCGGTAGGAGTTGACGTTCAGCTGAGTGATGTCTTTCCCATCAATTAGGACCTTTCCAGCGATGGCATCATAGAACCGTTCAAGAAGCGCAATGGTGGTACTTTTACCACAACCACTTGGGCCAACCAGGGCAACGTATTGTCCGGGCTTGACGGTCAGATTCAGTCCACGCAGGACCGGCTGTTCGGCGCGAGTAGGGTATCTGAAATGAACGTCACGGAATTCGATAGATCCCTCCACAGACTGAAGCTTTTCGCCTTCCTCCGACCAGGTGTCGATCTGCGGCTTCCTGTCAAAAAGTCTGCGGAATTCGGCCGCCGCATTTTTCGCCTTGCCCATGTCTGGAGCGAATGAGAAGACAGTACCCGCAGACTGAGCACCGAACAGAATCTCGGAGAAGCAGACGAAGAAACGGAAGACAGAATACTCGTGATGCCCCAGGAGCGTACCTCCATACCAGAAACCGAGGGCAACACAGAAAAAGACCAGAGCCTGCGAGGCGGCATATAGAATAGAGGACTTCAGCACTGAGATCAGACTTGTACGGCCCTGCGCCGCTAATTGGCCGTGGTAGATATCCCAAACATCCTTTTCCCGAGTGAGAGAGGCCACGGTGCGAATAGCCGAGGTCGCCTCACAGGCATAGCTTGCAGACCCTTCGTAGGCGCTCTTAGATCTTTGTTGGAACTGCGCGAGCATGTAGAAGCGGTAGAATCCACATCCCAGTAGAACCGGAACGACGGAAATACAGACCAGAGCCAGCTTCCACCCGATGCTGAGAGAGATAATCATAGCCGCACCTAGGGTCGTGCTGGTCATAAGGATTGTACCCAATGTGGCACCACTGACACCTGACAGATGTTTGGTCTCAGTCGACAAAAAGGATGTGAGTGCACCAGTGCTGTTTTCCTCTCTATCAAAAAAGGTAATATCCTGACGCAGCATGGATCTAAAGGCCATGCTTCGAGCTCGCCGAATCAATCTCTCCGAGCACACGGCGAAAGCGGCACCATTGATGGAAAGGTTGATGAACTGCGCGATTCCAACCACAAAGAACATCAAGGCCCAAAAAGCACCATCATGCCGAATTTTAGCGGCCTCGCTCGTAGGCAGCGAAAGAGTGCTGATGGCCTTGGCGTACAGAACGGCCTGGGTGGGTTGGCCACCACCGGATAGGACCGCAAAGACCAATCCGATGAGCATATAGAGAATCTCAGGGCGGTTGAAGGAAGCAATGAATTTGACCAAAGACCATAGTGAGTATTTCTTAGCGATTTCCGGCTCTCTCTTGGCCAGAATGGCGCTGGAGATTGACTTGTGTGTTCCACTACGTCCAAGGCCATTACCGGCGAACATCTTCTCGTCGTCATCAGCTAGAGAACCGGTGCCACTGCTTGCTGACTTGATGCGTTCGATTTCTTCCCTCGCGAAGTCATCCTCGTCCATGTCTGCTTCATCAGTAGCCAGGGCTTCCGCATCCTTCTCCTCGTTAATGCGTTGTGCTTCCACGAGGCTGTGGTAGGTGCCCTTGCGACCAACGAGTTCGTCATGATTGCCTTGTTCCACAATCTTGCCGTTCACCATAACGACGATATTGTGGGCTGACTTGATGGTAGAAAGACGGTGAGCAATGACAATAGTAGTGCGGCCTTCGGCAGCTCTATCCAAGGCTGCCTGAACAACACCTTCGGATTTCGTATCCAGAGCAGATGTGGCTTCGTCGAGCAAAAGAATCTTCGGGTCACTGACTATAGCGCGCGCGATAGCAATGCGCTGCTTCTGTCCTCCGGATAGTAGGAAACCCCGCTGACCCACATTCGTCTCGTAGCCTTCAGGAAGGGCTGTGATGAAGTCGTGAGCGTTGGACATCTTCGCTGCGTTTTCAATCAATTCCCTGATTTTGTCCTCGGATTCGTTCTCATACTTCGTGCCGATAAGACCGTGTCGAATGTTGTGATAAATCGTCGTACCAAAGAGGACAGGTTCCTGACTAACCAGCGATATTTGTTGACGCAGCCAACGAAGGTTGAGTGTCGAAATGTCATGGCCATCCAAAAGAACGGAACCTCCCACAGGAAAATAGAATCGCTCGACCAGACCAACAACAGTACTCTTTCCCGAGCCCGATGGGCCAACAAGCGCAGTTGTCTTGCCGGCAGGCATAATCAGAGAAACACCATCCATGACAGTAACTTCCGGACGAGATGGGTAAATGTGCTTGATGTCGCGGAATTCGATATTGCCTTCGAAGTGTTCGAGCTTCTCGCCCTCCTCGGAATAGGGATCCAGAGGAGAGGGACGATCGATAGTCCCATAGATCTTGACGGCTGCGGCGAGAGCATTCGTGAAGGCCTGACCATTGGGGGCGACATTTCCTAGACTAAATGATCCAATCAGGATAGCCATCAGAACAGTCAATACTTGTCCCACGTTGACCTCTCCATCTGTGAGGAAACGAGAGCCCATCCAGAAACCAAGGCCGTAGTTGGAAAACATGATACCGAACATGCCACCAATCATGAAGCCGAGAATAATCTGAGTCTTAATACCCCATTTTTCGGCCTCGGCCAAATGAGCCTCGTATTGCTTGGCCAGTTTGTCTTGAGTACCGAATGCAGTGGCATTACGAATTGAGCTGATGACCTCTTCCGCAACAGTTCCGCCGGCACCAGCGCTCTCCAAGGACTTTTTGCTGTACTTGACAATAAAGCGAGAGCCACCTCCCATAGTCATCACAAGGGCAACAATGGTTGAGGTACAGATCAGAGCGAGTTTCCAATATTTGATATAGGCGACAATGAACGCAGTCACGAAGGTGGCAATGGCTGTTAGTGTGAGTCCAACCTTCTCCGAGATACCGTCTTGGATCAAATTCGTGTCGGCTGTAATGCGAGTTGTAACTTCACCGGCTCCTAGTCTATCAAAGTAGCCCATGTTTTGTCTCAAGATAGACTCTAGATAATGTTCACGAATTTTCTGAGTGATGTGTTCCCCGGTGTAGATGAACCCGACGGTGGAAATATAGACGGTAACAAACTCGGCAATTCCAAGATACACAAAGTAAAGAACATTCTTCGTTAACTGGTGATAGAAGTCGTGGTACGAGAGTTCGTACAGAGCGATTCCTCTGAATGCCGAAGCCAGTGAGCCGAAGAGAATCTAAGAAAGCCCAGGTTAGTTGTAGAGCCAACAAGTGACACCCCACCAAACCACTTACGGTAAATAGAGGTAGAGCAGCACCTGCCACGATAGCGCAAAGCGCACTGACAAGCATGATCAAGATGTCCATGCGCGAGGCATAGCGAAAGAGAGCGAAAAACGACACATTCACATCCGGCGAATCCAGTTGCTTCTTCAGAATCTCCTTTTCATGCTCTGGGAGGTGCGCGAAAAGCGCATCTGGATCTTCGGATTTGGCTAGAGCATTAGAACGAGAACCTTTGTCCTTCTCTCCTGCCGGGACCACCGTCGAACTAGAGATGGAAGAACGACCAGCTGACTTGCGATGTTCGGCTGAGGATGCGCTTCCCCGTTCCATCAACTCGATATCAGCGTTCTCGGCCTTGTCCCCAGGAAGGCGCTCATTTTCTGGAAGAGCCATTTCTGCTCCTGGTGGCACGTAGAAATGTCAAGTCTCACAGTTGTGATTGTGAGGTCGGAAGACGTGTTGTCTAAAGAAAGAGAGAAACGAGAGGACGAAGCGCACTACTCCATGAGGAAGGTGGCTTTCGGTAGTAGGTAGGTGAGAGATGCTGGAAAGACTTCCAAATTGACCACCCTGTATGTTAAGAAGAATCGAAGGAAGGGTGATACTTTCAAGGTAGGCGAAGGTGTTTCGCAAGCTGGGCGCAAATCTTGTCGCGAGCTATGCTTCCACGCGCGGAGGACCTAGAAAGGGATGGTATGGAATGTACAATGTTGATCCAACCCCAAGGTCGTTCGGAGAGGGGGAAAATGAGATTGTTGATTAATTAGAATTAGAGGTGTAAGATACTGCAAGGTAAAAGGGGGGGGGGGTAGGAAGGAGGGGAAGAGGGGGGTTTGTAGAGGGATATATGAATTAAGAAGCTAATAATTTGTTAGTTAGTACGTAGCCTTGAACAAGACTTGAAATGAATGACTGGGGATTTAAATCCTGATGCCTCATTGTCGGCGTCAGCGAGCGCTTGTCCCCGTCTTGTGTGGTACGGAAGAGGAAACATCAATTTTAGCCTCCGTTCCTTAGCGTCATCGGAGCCCCGACTTCCCGAGCCTGTTTTATGCATTAGTTTCAGTCAAGTTAAGCGGCGGATTATCATCTAACGATTTTAATGATTCATGCGTATCGAGCGTATTACTAATTGAGAAGGTATTAGTTATTTCAGTTGCATGGCAATTGCATGGAAAGGACAGCAGGTAAATAAATGGTTGAGAGTCACTACGGTGAATTACAGTGCATATTCATACTGTACCCCTGGACTACAATAATATTTGTTGTACAGAAAGTAGGCAGGGTATGTCGGAAGAATAAGAGAGATAATCAAGCGACAGGCAAGCCACCACGAGCTACTCGGTCGGAACGGAGAGATGAGCGCTCACTCACACACATGCATGAAGGTAAGAAAAAATAGTCTCCAGCCACGGTACAAAACTCACTTCCGTATTGAAGGCACTCGGGAACACCACGTACAACAAAAAGAAGCCTAACAGATCAAACTCCCCTTGGAGACATGATCTACTATGAGTCGCGTCGGGAGCATGATAGAGTATTATTGGTCCATTCTCTGCTCGGTTCTAGAACACCTATCAAGACGGTATCCCCCCCTATTGATGAAAATTAGAGAGGCCATCTGCGGGCACTTTATTAGGCCTAGCTCAGGTATATTATACCAGACGGGCAATCGATGCGTGCCAATGGCGAGGGAGAAATCGAGAAAATCAACCAGTGCGACGTCCAAGTATCGGTGCCTAAAGAGTTTTAGCGCGGGCAACAAAACCACTACCTCAGGGCGGGGTCTGGCTCGGGTTAAAAGACCCGCTCGCTCATGGACTGGACAGGTACGTACTGTATTCGGCTACTAAACAAAGACGCCGGCGTACAGTTTTGAACTCAAAGAGTACGTGCCAGCATATCATATGAACCTCGTATTTCCAGTAGATAATCTTCGATTTGATTGAATTGATGCAAGGCATCCGTTTCGATCGGGGTCGGGGCTTATAACCTCCGGTCTCCTCGATGACAAACCAACCAACTGAACTTCGGGCTTGACATCAATTCCGTTCCATGGATGGTATCTACTAGTCAAGGTAGGAACTTACTAGTATTATTGGAGGTACCCTGTATCCCAAGTCCTCCTCACTCTACGTACTCTGTAAAGACTTGTAAGTTACTATAGTTAGGCAAGGACTAGTAAACGCCGCTTATCTCCGTGCCTTCAGCCAGCCATCGGGCGCTAAGTTACCGAGTAACTTACTCATGCTGCTTGTGACTTGGTCTGCAGTACGGATCAATGTTCATGGGAGGTCCGTGGTTGACAATGGGAAAGACATGCAGTATGCATCGAGTAACTAATCATGGACATGCACAGAAAAACCATTGACACTGTTATGTCATGAAACGAAAGACCAGTGAGTCACTCCCCCGGACACTATGATGGTTGCTGATAAAACAGCGGAAAGAGCTTGATCCGACCTACGGAATACTATAACTGGACCCCGATCCTGTTTGGGGCCTCGATAACTGGAAGTAGGGAACGGAATTCCGACCGTCGCTTACTGCCCATAATATTATCGTCTGGTTTCGCCTGTTGTCTCAGACTAGGGTCACTCGAGAGTTCGATGGCTCTTTGATAGGTGTTTGATGTGGCGGCGACGACGGCTTGGTCCTCTCAATGTGTTAAACCTACTTACTCCTTATGGTGTGAAAAGTTATAGAATGGCTTAGCTTCTTGTGTGAGTCATCGAGTATTGGATGAATCACAGGTGAGCCACAACGTGGTACTCGATAATTCATCAAGGTTGACCTGATGACCCTCACCCAAGTGACGGTATGATGACTCAATGCTGTACCTAAGTCAACTATACACTAGGTGCAGATAGCGCAAAGGAGATGATGAGCAGAGAACCAAATACGGTGAGAATATGTGCATGGAAACAGACAATAAGGACAAAGCAGTATTGATCGTATTGAACTTGCTATGGCCCCGTCATGGTAGTTTACCTGTCTGATCCGGATACTTGGCGGTCAGCAAAGGCCATGCGGATATCCCCTCCGGGCAATTCCCGCCAGGCTACTATCAAGTTACTTGTGATAAGTCTCGATCATCGGCGCAAGATATAGAAACTTGCTCTTCAATCAAAAGAAAGAGGGAATACATCGATATAAGAGATTAGTGTCACAAAGTGCTGAATTAAAACAACTGAAGTGCGCTAGCAACCAAGGCCATATCAATAACACGATTAATATACATCAATTGAGAGACAGATATACTTGTTGCCTCAGGCCATAATCACATGACCTACCCGAAGCGAAACGCTAAGCCCTGCCCGCACAAAAAAACTACCACTACGAACGGCGATTGAAGACGGTCGACAACCTCACTACCGCCAGTCCATACCCTCAGCTCGCCGTCGCGACAAGCCTTCAAGATGCCGGTTAGCAGCCCCTATATGACATGAACGGATATTACAATGGAATATTCTTCATATCAGCATGGAAACCGCTAGGATGAGGATAAAGGAGGCAGGCTAACGCTTTTATCTTTCTTCAATATAGAGCCACAAGAGTTTCCGCACCAAGCAGAAGCTTGCCAAAGCTCAGAGACAGAACCGTCCTATCCCCCAGTGGATTCGTCTCCGCACTGGTAACACCATCAGGTAAATAAGAACCCTTGATTTAACCACCATTCGGTTCCCTGTGACGCTGCGACCCCCGTGGATGGTTTTCGATTGCCTGGCAAATGGTAGAAGACGGAAGAACTACGAAGGAAAGGATAGGGAATCAACACTGGATGAGCAACTACAACGACTATTTTCTACCTGCTGGGATTGGATGCTACTCTGCCCTCGGGGGGTTGGAATTGTTTTCCAAGACGCACACACGGGCGATCAGATGATACTCAGGAATAGGTCGGATGGCTGACCTCGCTTTCTCTATCTTCCAGATACAACGCCAAGCGGAGGCACTGGCGCAAGACCCGTCTCGGTATCTAAATTCGATCAAGCCAACCAACCGACTTCTTCGATTTCGCCCGAGATGTCTTTTCTTTATCCCTGGGAATGTTTCGTTCAGTTGTGATACCGCCAACTCTTGTGTGCCTCTCTTGCTCGCGATGATTAAATATGCATCATCCTGAACTTCGTCGACCCGCTGCTTTCTGATCCACACCCTTCATCTTCTCTCCTTCGGTTTTTGCTCCTGTTTCCCGGCATGCATTTTTATGTGGCAAGCGAATATCCGTTTCTGAACGTCGAACGATATCCGGGACAGGTCTGGTTGAGGTGCAAGCAGTCGTTCTTCGACTGGTTCTGTGATACGGTTATGAATCATGCAATTTAATTACACGAGCTGAGAAAAACAAAAATCGAAAAATCATGAAGGATAACGAGCACTGAACGAAGGTTTATTTTCTTCTGGGGACTCTACTCTTTGCTCCCACTTGAACACGGGCTACCTGGAGCGATAAATCTGCCCAAACAAGTGATTCGCTTCGCCTTTATCTATGCCGAGGTAGCTTTTGTTTCAAGTCATGGATTGACCTCGTAGGAAGTCATATATCGCTGCTAGTATGGCCACTCAAAATGCTGGCTCCGTATATCTTTTCAATCCCGAGCATACAATCATACCCCTAAAAAGACGCAACCCTGCGGTCTTGATAAAGTAAAATATGTTCCAAGACCCGGAGTATTTGAGCATCGTCTGGGTCAATCTCATACAGTAGAGCTAACTCATCTGAATTGGGTTTCAAGGACACAACATCATAACAAAGTTTGTATTTCAGCTACTAATCGATTAAGCTATATCCCACTGTTGCCCATAGACAATGGTCCAGGGCCAGTAGGACAAAAAAGAAACAAAAAGAACCATGCGCTGACATGAAAAAGCGAGAACCGAACGCCGGGAACTGCAGCAACTGGAGATCATATAAGGTGTAACAAGCCAAACCATTGTTGAGGCTTGCCTATCTTCAAAGAAACCACATTTCCCATAGCGAGCCTGCGATCCTTGGAAGATATGGCAGTGCCGCTGCCCAGTGACACCAATTTAGCGACTGCAAAGCAACCGGTTAGCATACGTCTCTCCTGTTGTTACGGCACCCGGTAGGAGTTCATGCACTTACTCTTCAGCCCACTCATTCTCTCGGCGGATCTGATCCTCCTCCTCGGGAGTGAAATCGTTCTGAATGTTGAATGTCTTGCGGATTTCTTCGGGAGACTTGCCCTTGATCATGTTGGCGACGGTCTTGCAGCCAACATCCAGCAGGCCCTTGATATCGAGGTAGTTCGCGGCCAAGATGATTTCAAACAGCATCTCTTGATCGACCTGCATGAACTTCTGGTCCCACTCATCGATGTCGGTGGTCTTACGACGAGAGTCATCGTCGTCACCGGTGCTGGGGGGGTCGCCCTTGTGGTGCTCGCACCACTCAATGACCTTCCTCAGGACAGCTTCATTGACCTACGAAGCCGAATGTTAGTTTTGTTTAATGAATGGTTAGAATGAGTGGGAATGGGTGGTAGGAATAATATACGTTAGGGATAGGGATAGCTTCGTCAGTATCACCAAGATCCTCGAGCATATTCTTGATCAGAACAGAGCGTTGAGCGACATCGCGGGCTAAAAAAGCAGCATAAGTTAGACTTCAGATTCAGCAGTAAAGTGTTAAGGTGACAGGGACGTGGGGGTGTGTGTACTAACCGATAGTAATCTCAACCCCATCGTTGCTCTGGAATCTAAGCGTTGTTGCGGACATCTTGAAAATAGGTTGGAGGGTTATTGGCGGGCCTAGAATGAATAGGTAGATGTTAGGCATATGTTACTCGACAAGCGCAAGAATATAAACCTGCCCTGAGGGGTACTCAAGTGGGGATTCGTTGCTGCTTACAGTCAAGAATTGTTTTTGAGGAGAGTGTGAGTCTCAGATGGAAGCTGGAGGAAACAGCGGGGAATTCGAGGGTATAAATAGACGAGATGGGAGTGGCTTCGTGGTAAGTGAAGGCAGGAAATGTTGAAAATTAGTGTGTCGAAGTGAGTTGTGGTGGAGGAGAAGCCCGAACTGGAGTTCAAAGGGACCGGACGTTGTGAAAGAGCAGCTGGCTGAGGCTGATGACTGGTCCTAGTTCGAGGGGGCGGGAAACCTCCGTCATCATTCGCTGCTGTGACGCCCCACTTGCGCGGTTGCAGCCTGTGGCTGCCTGGTAGATGCCTTAATTATGTTATCGTCTTTATGCCTTCATGCCATTATGCCTTTGTGCCTTAGCATCTTAGTGCCTTGATGCCTGGTCATCTGGGTGCCTGGTTGAGGCTGTGCTATTCAAAATACAACGAACTGAACAGACTTTCACAGAAGAACACCTTCAAAATCAACAAGCGAGTGCCCCAAAGCATTGTACCTTGCTCTTTTATCGAGGGTATTTCGTAGCATACATCACTCGTACACTTAGATCTCCACTTCAATGACTCGTTCTTTACATCAATCCCAGTGGCATATGTTCCATTCAAGAACTCTGGTGTTGGTGGGAATCCTTCCACAGAGTATGGTACAGTAAGTACTGTACTGTACATGCTCGGCCTATTAGGACATTCGAATTAAGACAAGCATCTCTCAAGGACAAGAGCACAACAGTACATACGACTTAGTCCTTCCCTCCCTCTTGCTGAACCATGTTGCTACGCAGTCATGAATTCTTTGCTGTATCAGAACAAGATCAATCAGACTGGACCAGATCTGACTGCGACGGGACGCATACTGAGGGTGTGAAGAGAACAATTTACTCTATGTCGCAATAGGTCCAAGTCAATGCACCCGCTACAGCGGACACTCAACCAGGATATTCCATACAACTTGAGATGACGGCTGCTGTCTCCCTCTCCGAAGCGAGAGTTCAGCTAGCTACCAAGCTCTCTCGTTTGCCCCACCCCCGGCATTGTTGCTCCAGTGCAGGGGGGCTCCTTTCACCCCCAAAACGAAGAGGGAAAGGAAAAAAAAAAAAAAAAAAAAAAAAAAAGGGACATCGATAGCGCTGTATTTAGTCCTCGTCGCTCAATGATATCACCCAACAACGCGTCGCCGGTTATCCGCCCGCCAAAGTGACCGGAATCTTATTATCCTCCTCCCTCTGTCTCCCTTCCTTCCTTCGTTTGGCGCTTATGCCTGAGACCGTCGTTCCTTGATCTTCCTTAATCTGTTCTTCATTTCATTCTTCAGGTACCTGAACCCCCGTAGGCATGTACCATACTCTCCGCCGGACTTGACCTTCGTCACCCTCCAAATCGCCTGCACATCTTACAGAGTCATGTGGTGGCGGCGAACATATTTGTTGCTGTTGGTAATCCGGGTATATTTTGCGGTGTCACCAAGCTATCTACACCCCGATGAAAACTTCCAAGGTCCTGAGGTCTTTGCAGGTAAGTGTCCAACATATTAGCAATCTGATACGTGACTCTTTCCGGCTCCCCCGACGCTCGCCAATGCCGTGGCTCTGATATGACTTTCATTCATTCCTTCGGCCGCATACACTTACTGGTTACTTCATAGGTCGGATTCTCTCCTATCCATCTCAATTACCTTGGGAGTTCACTGCCGATAAGCCGATCCGTAGCGTATTCCCACTATGGCCGATCTACGAGGTGCCAATGAACTTTCTGAAATGGTTCTATACGGAAACTGGGGCCCAAAATCCTCCTCCACAGCTAGTATACTATGTGCTGCGCGGGGTCATGTTTCTACTTAGCTTTGTCTTGGAAGACTGGGCGGTATATGAGCTGGTTCCCTTGCCGCGCCATCGCCGCGCGACGGTGGTGCTGGTGGCATCTTCGTATGTCACCTGGACATATCAGACGCACACCTTCTCAAACTCACTCGAGACCCTCTTGGTGATCTGGAGCTTGGTTTTGATTCGTCGCATTGCTGAGAAAAAGGTAGGCGCATCCAGTTGAGCCGAAGTGATAAGAAACCCCGTGGCTAAGCTTATTGACAGCGACATTCTTCACTTTTTTCTTGCGCTGTGTTGTCGTTGATCGCAGTCATAGGTGTATTCAACAGAATCACCTTTCCTGCTTTTGTGCTCGTTCCAGGGCTCCAGCTACTCCCTCACCTTTGGCACAGGTAAAGTTCTTAAGCTGCACACTTTAACTTGTATGTTCACAATGTTGACCTTCAATGATAGGCCTTCATCTTTCCTCTCGATTGTTGGATTTGGCCTGGGCTTTTTCTGCCTTGCCGTCTTGGTTGATACGAAGTTCTACAGCTCACCTGCGACTTTCTGGGACGCCCTTCACAGTCCTGTAATTACTCCAATCAACAATCTGCTTTATAACTCCGACAAGTCTAATCTGGCGATCCATGGACTCCACCCTCGATATCACCACTTCCTGGTGAATCTACCACAACTACTAGGCCCGGCATATATAGCCATGATCTTGTCATTATTCAACTTCTCAGCCGTTCCATCTTGGCTTAGGGATATGCGCGCAATCTCGGCCATTTCGGCAACTGTCATGCTTTCAATATTCCCTCACCAAGAACCCAGATTCCTGCTTCCTTGTGTCCCCCTTCTCCTCAGTTGTTTGCGCATACGCAACACCCGGAATTCCCGGTGGTTCCTAGTCGCCTGGGTCATCTTCAATGCCATCCTAGGGTTCCTCATGGGAGTATACCATCAAGGAGGAGTTGTGCCTGCACAGCTCGCGATGCCGTCTATCATTTCAGAGAGCGTACGTGGGTCAAGTCTTGGCTCACTGAATGCCCGGCTCGAAACAGATGCCACCGTGCTCTGGTGGAAAACGTATTCTCCCCCACTTTGGCTTCTGGAAAATGACACCACCCTTCCAGTAGATATCCGAACTCGAGACTTGATGGGAATGCCAGGATCAGAAGTGCTTGAAGAACTCGACAAATTGGTGCCCTCATGTCACGAGAAGGAGAAAGCTGAAAGCCAAGGGGTGTCTCCACCCTTGGTGTTCGTGGTTGCCCCCAAGTCTGCTACATTCTTGGACCAATATGTTGCTCCTCTGGCCTCATCGTCCGACCCGTCGGATCTAGAGCTGCATGAGCTGTGGCACTGGAGCAATCACCTCAATCTAGACGATCTCGACTTTGGTGACGACGGCATCCTGCCGACACTCAAACGAGTGATTGGGAGAAGAGGACTGGCTGTGTGGGGAGCACGGAGAGCTGGATGTGCTTGACTCAAGTCCCGGCCACATCAGCTGACACCGATCACCTGGTGCTGGAAGCGATGGTTGTCACGGGTTTGACGTCGGCCTACCTCATCGAATCTAAGTTCACTAACTTGACCATTCTTTGCTCTTTGATACTCTCATTACTTTGCTTTTCTTTATATTCTCACATGTCAACCTCATAGCGAACTGTCCCTTCGATCTCCACTATCTTCTTGTCTATTCATCTCATTCGCCTCTATCTCACTACCTTCACCACATATACTGTCTGGGATATGGAACATGTGAGGTAACCATCTTGCGGTACAATATACCCTTCTATTCCCCTTCCACAAATCATACATATATACCCAGCCTATCTGCTTTTATTTCAGTCCTCTATCCGCCGGCGGCTCCTACAAAGTTCCATCATTCACAACCTAGTCTCTTGCAGTCAATCTTGCAAAATACGTTGCTGTCTCGAGCTTAAGTCGCAATGCTTGACAGCTCAGAAAGTATCTCGTCCATTTCCTGTATACTCGCGGTGTGAATCATCTTACCCACCGTGCCCTCAGCTCGTGGAGTCACACGGGCAGTACCAAAAGGGAGTTGATGCCCCCTCATCGAGTCACGCTCGCACCATCCTCTTTTCCAGCGTCTAGAATTCGATCTCGATCCAGACCTGCCCATCTCGAGAAGCTATCGACGAACCTGACGTAGTTTAACCATGTTCAACCCTAATCATATAACGTAGAAACAAGTTTTCATGATTCCAGGACAAAAGTCCCATGCTTCTGAACTTTCCGCTTGGGTACTGAGTACACGACCAGGACTTGCACGGATTATCTAAGTGGACCAATGAAGAGTGGCAGAGAAGACGTATAAGCTTGAGTACGAGCTCCTAAATAGAACATGAAGCAACGGAAGAATATAAAGACATGCCCAGTAGAGGCAGAGAAGAAAGAAGAGAAGCAAAGAGGAATAAGATGTTACGAGGCATCCGCCGGCTAGGAGGCTTGCGCGGGACGGTACGAGCTCCCGGGCAGACTTGGGCTTGACAGCGATCTATTCTACATAGTCGCCCTTGTGAGTAATTATTGCAAGAGTATAATAAGAGGGACACATCACGACGTTCATTATCAGAGAAGATGAGAGATCAATAGGGAAGAGCAGCATCCATTGGTAGGATGTTCAGCTAGATCGAAACATAAGAATAGGAGTGGAATCATAGATCATCAGGGTCGTCCGGGTTCTCGAACAGATAATTAGCAGCGAGCTCTTCGTTCTTGTCGCAAGCGAAGTAGGCCTGGATGACGAGATCCCGAGAAAATCCAAGTCGACAGAGCTGGTAATGAGGTTAGCAGCATTTCTAGACTTTCAATTTGTTCCTCATCAAAGAGCATGAGAGGATACATACGCGTTCAATGGCGTCCCGTTCTTCTTCTGTGACGTGGATCTGATGCGTGCCGGGGGGGAGAGCCGCGTCGTCCTCCTCGCTCAACAATTGGAGAAACTGCTCCTCGTTCTGACCAATGAGCTGCGCAATTTGAGGATTGCCAGTAGCAACTTGTTGCAGGATAGGCTCGAGCATCTGCGGTTGTTGCTGGACTAGCTGACGGAGTTGCTGGAAGTGAGGGTTATTCCGGAGGAAATCGAGGCTGGGAAGGCCTTCGCCAGACCCAGCTCCCGGGCGGGCACCTCGAGTGCCGCCTTCCTGACCTCCAGCCTGAGCGGCAGCTTCGAACAGGTTAACATGTTCGTCACCAACCGGGGCCGGGGCACTTTCTTCTGCAGGAGACGCGGACGTTTGGGGTGCGCTTGCGGCGGCGGCTTGCTGCTGTTGCTCCTCCTGGATGTTATCCGGAATGCCCTGAAGAACTGTCAGCGGATTGTGGAGAAAGCCAGATGGCTCCGGAACCACCTCAAGACTCACGTTCAGGAGGTACTCAATGGCGCGGTCAGGGTTGAAGAAGGCAGCCCTCATTGCACGGTTGATATCGCTTCTTGGGAATCCCATGCTTTCCATCTGAGCCACCACTGCCTCGCTTTGGGCACCACGCAGCAGAGCTGAGGGATCATTGAAGGCGGGACCGGCGGGCTGAGAAGTTCCCGAGGCGGCCGGAGAAGGAGTTGCGGGAGCTGCCGGTGAAGCAGTGGATGCCGACGGGGCAGGGGCAGCAGGGGCAGAGGGGGCAGCGGGCGTCGAAGCAGCTACTCTTGCAGGGGTGGAAGGGGCTTGTGTAGAAGCGCCGGAGGCAGAAGGCTTGGGCTAAGTGAAGCGCCAAGATTAGCTTGATAGGAGGATAGTGATTGCCATATACAATAAGCCATACCTTGGACACCATGCACACTATAAAACCTTTCTCCTCAATGCTGTACGACTCGATGGTCTTGTCATCTTGAAGGATCTTTCCTATTGTGCAAATTCTGTCAGCTATACTTGTCGAGCGTGTCGTCAAAGGATCGGAGCACGAAGCCGTCGTTCCCAGTAACAATTTCTGCCAAGCATCGTGGGGCGCTGATGACTGACCTGAATAAATGAGCTTCAACTGGGCAACTTCCCATCCTTTCTCCTGAGAGATTTTTTCCTTCACTTCTCCGACCTAGAAGAAAAAGCGGATTAGCCCCGCACCGACCTTAACGAGCTTCCATGGTTTCAAGCAGGGAACTACCTACCGTCTCTGAGGGTTCTGCATCGATTACAAACTTTTGTTGTTTGAGGTCCTGAAGAGATACGGGTCAGATTGAGGGGAGGACGAGAATGGTAGAGCACAGGACAAGTAGGTACATACCTTGAACGTGAGCTTCATCTTGCGCCACCGAAGGTTGAGAGATGGCTCGACAACGTGGGCGGAGGGGTTATAAGAGAAGACACTTGAAGGACGGGAGGGGGTGTAGTGGGGAGGGGCGACAGAGGGTTGCAGGACTTAAAAGCCTGATGATAGATTGATCAAGAATGGTACTAAGCGTTAAAGATCTTTAGTAGAAAAGTAGATGAAGCAGAGGATGAAAGGCCTGCGAAAGAAGCAAGGAAGTAGAAGAAGTAGATGAGGATGAGGATGAGGATGAGGATGAGAATGATTGATGACGAAGACGGATCATGAATGGCACCGAAAGAGGGAGAAGGAAGCCCAGAAGGTGGAGGGAGCTGGGAATCGGAGGCGGTCAGCACTCGCCGGTACCACCGCCACACATTTCCCCCCTCATCCACCAACTTGGAACCTCAGCCACACTTCCCTTTTCGGCTCATACTCAACGGATCATGGATGTATGAATTGATACACAGTTATCGAACAAGGCGACAAAAACCGAGAAGAAGATTGCAACGAGTGTGTACCAACAAGAGTACGATAACGTGACGAGTTTATTCTCGATCTTACTGGGGTACTGTAATTCAAGTTTGCGAAGTCTATCCATACCGTTGAGGCCTCTACTAGTACGGAGTATATATTACTCGATTCTCGTTCACCAAACGGCTCTTTAACCGACTAGAATGACATACAGAGTATGTATATTCTCATTCTCAACGATAAGCTATTTCTACCTTTAAACGATGATCAAGAAAGAAAAAGAGAAAAAAAATACACTTCAAAATAATAACATAAACAACACAATAGATAAATTGGGCTCGCCTATCCCAAGCGAGACTTTGTCCCATAATCTCAAAACTGCCTTGAGACAAGGGACCTTTATTCAAGCCAAGTGAATCAATCTTCTTTCTTCCAAATGTATTAGACCAATCCTTCCATCAACCAACCAAGCTGCTAGCCGGCACGCCCCGTCCCGATCACACCTGCAGCTGAACACAATGGTGTTTCTTGTTGTCCACCCAGTGTTTCGTCTGTCCTCCGTACACTCACTTTCATTTGAGACTAGTAGCGTTGTTCCGTGGCGAGGATGGCAGCCCTATAGATCTATCGCATGGATGTATCACAACACGGCTGCAGTTGCCAGGAAGAGGGAGAAGAAAAGGAAGAAGAAAGAGAAAAAAAAAATACGGACACCTCGAAAATGATATACGAGAAGCCAACTCATTCCATTGCACCCCCAACGCTCATTCAAGTTCGTATTTCATCTCTTTCCTGGAGAATTCGCTTACCACTTAACTCTCTGCTCCAGGTAAATCGATTTTTCATGCACCGATGCCATAACGACAAATGCATCATGGATGAATCGCACCGCCACCCATTTGTTTTTTTCGCTCGCCAGAAAGTGGGTGATATGTCATATCTCTAGTTTGCAGCACCAGCGCTAATATTGCGCCCCTCCGTGTCCCTTCCTGGAGCCCAGATGGTCGATCCTTCCATTAAAGCCTTTCCCGGAACTCTGGATATCATCCCGGCCGCCTTGTACAGGACGCCACTGAATCTTGACAAATCCATTCTAGACCTGTTCCACGCGGCTAAGATACCTCTAGGATGCACTCATCCACTGCTGTCTCTAGTCAGTTCTGCGGCTGTAGCTACTAGCCAGCCATGATTGGGACATCTGGGAGGAAGGTATCCACGCATGTGAGGTTGAGAACCAACCTCTATCGTCATGAACATGCCATCTCGGCCTTTAGGACCCAAACGATTGATCTCAGCATTGCATGACTGTATCAGATGTCGGATGAAGAACTCTTCATAGGAGCATGCACGACTTTCCGGGTTCTCTCTGGTTTTGGCCCCTCTTCGCTGCTTCTATGCCCGAGCTGAAAAAAGGGCCTCAGAGACGAAGGCATGACAGCTGGCGAGGCTTGCCCTCCACCCAACTCCGATCGGGATCACAGTTGGACCAGTGAAGTTGGCATCTATCTCTTCGACATCATCGCTGCCAGCCCCTAGTCTGACTGACTAGTGGTAGTACCTATGATCGAGACCATTCGGTATGAACGTCGACCATTATCCGATGTAGTCCTCCTTCTGCAAACCCCCCCTGCCCCGCTGATCCCTAGACGTTGCATACGTGACTCTTCTTCGAAAAGTCCATGCATCTGGACTCAATTATCCTCGGGGTTCGACTTTTTCCCAATGTCTTCCTTCTTGAGTTAATTAATTGACTTGCGATCATTCCCGGTTGCTGGGTATTTCCTCCGGTTCGACCCTTGTCTGTCACACCTTGTCCCTCGTTCATCATTTATCAATTTCATATTGTTATTATTACTACTACTATTATTATTATTACCATTATTATCATTATCATCGTCATTGCCAACTAGTCACGCCCACGATTTCATCCACCCCATTCCTTTTCATATCCAACATTCACCATCTTCTTCTCTCTTGGTTGTTTCCTGTGTCTTGGAAGTACCTGTCGTCTTTCTCTGATAATCTGCCAAATCCACACAGCCTAGAACGAAACCATAGTGGCCTTCAGTATCATGAGAGAAGTCTTGAACGGGTTATGATTTATTGAGTCGCGACCAATAACTACCCCTTTCTGTTCCCAGCAATTGTTCAGGTGGCCTTGCTACCTCCTTCGGGCTAAAGCCTTGATCGTGTGGAAATAATCACACACGCACACACGCGCACCCTCAGTCTCGATCTTCTGTCCGTGCAGACCTGATTTCGATCTCATGTTGCTGAGCATCTTCAGGACTTCTCTGGCCCATATTTTGGGAGGCTTCACCCTTCTGTCAACATTCATCGCCACTGTCTTGGATGGTATCTGTTACAGTGTCTCCAAATCTCTATCATCGCACATTGCCTCGGTCGAATCGGCTATTGTGAGTTTGAGTGCAATCGACTGTGCAGTGATCATCATATTGTTATTTCTTTGGGTCAAAGATGTCAGAGCAGAGGTGAGGGCGCAGTGGAGGGGTCACCGGGCTATTCTCTACGTTCTGATCGCCGTCTACCTCTCCATTGCCACCGGTATCACGGCAGGAGGAATCGCCTGGAGTGCAGTTCAGTCCATGACAGGGAAGACGACTGTGACCCACCAGCACCAGACCCTCATGCTAGCCCGCTGTATCATCTGGGCCATCTCCGTTTTGAGCCAAGGAATCCTGGGTGGCTATCTCCTAACCTCACTGACAAAGCGTGATGGTGGTGGTCGATGGTCAAGTTCTCTTTCTCAGGAGCTTGAGATTCTTCCCGACCAAGCCAGTGTTGGTGACAAGGACGACGTGGTGAAATCTCCGTCCATCATCCTTGAGTCTCCACGGCCTTCCACTGATGTGAAAAGAAGCTGCGACATTGTGCCGGAGCTTCAGCTTTCAGCTTCTCGTACAGAGTCTCAGAATTCTAATCGTTATTCCGGTCGGACGCTGTACCAACAAGACTCCAAGCAGAGCTCTTTCGACTTGCAGCGAACTCATATGGCGGATACTGAAACTACAGTGACTCGTTCCCAAACAGACGACCCGGCTGATAACCCGACTGATAACCCGACTGATAACCCGACTGTCAACCCTTCTGGCATGGAAGAACGGAGTGAGCCCCCTAAGATCCGACGAAGCTACTCCGGGGCCAAACGATCTTTCGAAGGGTTAATCCGTCAGTCTTCGTCAACTCGATCGTCCCCTGCCACATCTTCCACGCATCTAGCGGCTCCTGGTCGACCTATTCCTCCGAAGTTGAAACTCACTGATGAAAGCTTTATCCATCCATTGTTCCGGTCGGATAGTGCATCGCCTCCCCCAACTCCGATGCCAGGTACCACTGTAATCGCCTCACCCGCCGCTGGGCAGACCATCTCCGTGCAGACCCTGAATCGAGTGAGATCGACCCGGTCTCTCCGGTCCCACGTACCCCGAAGCCGATCACCCTTATTTGAGCAAGTGGACCAGCCGCTTGCCAGGCTGGAGCGGAAGTCTGAGTCTTTGGAACGCAGTGGGCGAGATTCTCCCATGCCCAGCTTCATCATGGCAGCGGATGTGCGAAGCAGTATCACCCGCTACGAGAAGAAATATGACTTGAATGAATCCCCTGACGAGAGCTAGTCAGACGAGCTCCTGAAGGTCACAAGGAATCGGGATCTGGGTCTGGATGCCTCTCACTTGTTGTTATCATTGTTCTCCTTTGTTAGATATCCTAAATATAGCGTTCGATGTACTTAGCAGACCATATATAAATATATACATAGTGCATGAAATGCAGCATGAGGTCTTTGGATTAGAGTCCGACGATCAATGAAGCAAAGGCTCGGAGCAGGCAAAGAAGAAGGTAAAGTGGCGACCGGTAGAAGGATAACGACATCAGATTCCAGGGCACGGTTCCAGGAGCCGCATGATAAGAATGAGTGATTCGAGTGGTAGTAGCAGTGTTTATATACATATAGAGACTCGGGAGGTGAAGACAGATATCAATCAGACTTCTCTAGGACTACAAGGGGACAACTGAAGGGATTGGGGGAGAGCGAAGCACGCCTTAACCTGCCCCAATGGCTTGTCAATGATTTGTTTGGATGTGGGCAGAGAAAGCAGAGAACTATTTCCCGGGAACTGTTTGCGAGAGTAAAGTTTTCGCTCGATATTATTTATTATACTGCATTCTAGTCTTGCAAATGGAGGGTTGAGGGGTAAACAGAGATATAAACCTGCCCGTCCGGGTGGGGAAAGAGGAGGAAATGGCTCCCGAGTCCCCGAGTCTAGGTAGTCTTTTTTCCCCCGAGTGCCAATTCCAGTAAGTTACCGAGTACCTTACTCAGTTGACTTAACTAACTAGCAGCTGCGACATTCAACTTCAGCTTGTCGGTCAGTCAGACACTACCTATCTGTCTATGAGGTAGTAACTAACTTATCTGTCCGCGTCTTACCTCAGTTACAGGACCAGTGCTTCATTGTATCCTGGTGCAATTGGCCTGCATCTTTCTTTTCCTTTTCCCTCATTCCTCTTTTCATAATCATCATCATCATCATCATCGTCGTCGTCGTTGTCTTCTTCTTCTTCTTCTACTCCTCCTCCCCCTCCTCTTCTCTGTTTTGCTAGACTTTATCTTTTTCTGTCTTTTTTTGCCAATTTTCCTCCTTGGCCCCCCTCCTCCCTTCTTTTCCCTTGTACTTACCGTGTTGGAAGTGGCCTATTTTCTCCCTTCTCCCTCTTCCTCCACTTATTTCTTCGATCTCTAAGTCTCTGCTAAGTGATCTTTTCGCTTGCTTGGCTTCTGGAGACCATTCATGAAGTGTCTCCAGCATTGAGGAAAGCCTAAGGAGATTTTCATAGTACATCCTAGCCAACCTTTCCTCTCTGGTGATGCGATTGACTCCAGCCCCCGCCGACTTTCTACTTGCAGGGAAACGAGTAAAATCTCCTACGATCGGAATCCGGTGATCTCCACTGCACGTTCTATTGAGGGTTTATGACTACTACTACTAGGTAGGGAGGAGTAACTTACCTAGTTGACCAGAGAGGTTCTATATCCGGCGAGTTTGTTCTACCTCGAGCACAGTACAGGCCTTGCAGCGGGCCAACCAAGCGCCGCAGTTGGACGCCCATCGATCCACTTGGCCGAACCTCTTTTTACTTCCCTGATCCTCAACTCACATCAATTGATTCAATCATCATCATCTCCATCTCCATCTCCATCTCCGTCTCCATCTCCATTTCCATCTCCTTCCCCATCGTCGTCCTCTTCCCCATTCCCTCTCCCATAACCTCCGCCGCTGTCGCAAATTCCGTTGACTTTTCTTTTTCTTTTCCACTCCGGGGTAAGTTTAAAAAAAAAACCTTTCCTTTAACCTTGACTTCTATTCGTCGCATTGAACCTCTTATTCTGCATTTATTTCCAAGTTGCCTTACACTCCTTCGATTTTCATTCCCATTTCCATTCCCATAACCACTACCTACTCTTGTCCCAGTCCAATTTTGTCGCCTTCTCCCACGTATCTGCCACCGCCACGATCAATTCCCCTCAATCGCAGTGCATTGTTCTTCCTCTTCAATCAATGGCTGGTGTTGTAAAGCCCTTCAGCCTCTCCCTTCGGACATAGACTTTCTGGCATTGCTCCATGGATCGTCCGCGTCTCCCTTTCCCGATCGCTTCGTTCAATCCATACTACTGATTGTACAATACTCCATGCATCTATCCACTTTCATTCATGCGCGATCTGCTTGCTAAGGACCCCGTGCTGTGTTGTTGCCGGCTGGGATAACTGTTCGTCTTCTGTATATGTTATGTTCCTGGCTCTAACTTCCTCCAAACTTTGCACTAACTGACACATTCTCCCCCCNCNCNCNCNCNCNCNCNCNCTCTCTCTCTCTCTCTCTCTCTCTCTCTCTCTCTCTCTCTCTCTCTCTCTCTCTCTCTCTCTCTCTCTCTCTCTCTCTCTCTCTCTCTCTCTCTCTCTCTCTCTCTCTCTCTCTCTCTCTCTCTCTCTCTC